CACTCCATGGATAAAAAGGTTGGCCAAAACAATCGCACATGTTGATAAACCATAAAGTAGCATTTCCCCTCTGCCTCTAGAGGCCAGGACTGAGACTGCACCTGGCAAATAAGCAATGGGCAATCTGTATAAGAGAAATTACCAGGAGGGGCAGAATCTGGGACAAGCAGGGAGGGGGACAAAAGTGGTAGAAATGAATAGTCAGGAAATGGGCGGGCCAGGAGGTTTGGTGTTAAAGGAAAGCAGAGGATCTGTGTTGGTTTCGAGGGTAGGTAAGACAGCATGAATGTCATTTCTCCAAAAGAAAGAAACTGGAGTTACACTTAGTTAATAGTGGGTGCTGCCAGGGATGCTTCTATTTGGTTTTTTCTACTCTCAGCAGCAGAGGGAGGTAGAGAGTAAAAAATGACGTGGTTCGAGCCCTTCCTGAACAATAGGCACATGTAAAGAAGCATTCAAAATTCAGGGTATTTATCATAGGAAATATACTGAAAATCTCAGTAGCAGACAGGCAGCTCTACAGAATCATTGGTATTTAGGAGGCAGGAAGACTTATTTGAGTCTGGGGAAGATGAGGCAATGTGTGAAGAGAGCTTTTTATTTTTTAAAAAAAGACTACATGTTAAAAAAGGACACTTATTCCAATCCTTCTTTGGCATGTAGATATATGATATTACATAAATATGGGACTTGAGTTTGAGGTCTGGCTTTGTGCCCTTTGGAAGAATTGCTTTTCTCTAGACCTCAAAGATGAGGGGACAGAGAACACCAGGTAGGAACAGAGGAGAAGGAAGCAGAAACCAGAACAAAAGCTGCAGTTCTGGAGAATGGAGCCCTTCTTTCAACAGCATTGACTCAGTCTCCTTCTCCCATAGTCAGGCCCTTTGTCATAGTTTTGAAAAGCCATTTTAAACTGCGGATGTGAATGTTGAAGTACACGAAGCCACAATTATTGCCATGTTCAGGGGGGTATGCCATTGCCCTGCAGGCTGTTAATGTACAACTCTGGAGTCTCAAAGCACCTGCAGTTCCTGAAAGGCTACTAATGCCTAAAGGCAGGTACTCACTTCATTTCCTCAATGTACTCCCCATTCCTGAGGCACTTAAAGATGGGGAAAAGCCTTTCTTGAACTACTGCATTTTCAGAGAATATGGCCAGAGGACGATTAGAGTTACTTGCCTTCATAAGCTGGTTCTGTGTGCGTGCGTGCGTGTGTGTGTGTGTGTGTGTGTGTGTGAGAGAGAGAGAGAGAGAGAGAGAGAGAGAGAGAAAGAGAGAGAGGAAAGATTTTTTCTTTCCAAGAGGTCAAACTATCACATGCATTTTACCCAATAATTCATTTTTCTCCCTTTACTATACATTCTCAGAATTGCCTGTCTTACACTTCTTTAGTTTTTGTTTATCTGGTCCACTATTCAGTGTTAAACTAACAGTAAGTGGAGGAACAGGCACCAGAAAGGAGGGAGGGATAGATGAGTTGGTGTGTGAACATCTGTTCTCATATAATCCCAAAGAGGAACACTGTAGGACAGACGGCCCCGTCGTGAGAGATTCGGTCCCCCGCCCCACCCAGTTTATTCTAGAATCAATCCAGCTCTTTTCAGGTGCTTGCTATTTTGTGACCATGGGAGCATATTTTGAAAACTCATACTACCATCATGAGATTCACATGTAAATCCAATATCTATCATTTGCTGAATAATACAACTGTACAAGGAAACGTGGGAAGACGAAGGGAATCACCTCTGGACCCTGGCTGGCCGCTGATAAATGAACACAGGTAAAAATTAATACAGGCAAATTAAAAACTAATACCAGCATTGAATGTTTTTATTTGCCATTTATTATAAAAAATTTAATCTTTGTTTTACACAAAAGGTACTTTAAAAACAGTAAAGTTACCAAAAGCTACTAAATCTGAGGCAAAGGGATTTACCACCAAAATGCAGATTTACATGGTAAACCTGAGGGCCAAAAACATTGAACAAAATCTTACATTTTTAAATAATTCATTACCAGAAGCAAAAACCAATTGTACACGTGACAAAGGTAAAATGGTGACAAAGGTAAAATAACAAATGCCAGCCTTCACTGTGAGCTAACAAAAGAAAATGTCTCTATTCAAGATTGGCCCATTATTTCAGTGAGAGTGAAACATCTGAAGAATTTTAAAAATCTTGTAAATGTTAATAGTTAGGCTTATCCATAACATATATATATACACACAAACACATCCATTCTAACTCTACACCCCTTTGTATTTTTAAATTGCACCATCTCTGTTAGAGATAATGTACGACATGCAGAAGGCATTCATAGTTATTTTTCTCAGCAGTAGTGTATTATACAAGTCAAATGCAAAAGTCAAATATGAAATTACGTTCAATTGAAAGCCATCTTAACTTAGTACTTTGGCGCATGTATTCTATGACAATGCTTTAGTGCTGATGAAATTGTTCATATACAAAACACCGAAGAGAATGTAGTCCGTTACCAAAGGTACTTAGTAGATAGCTCCCCTTGGATGTAGACGTGATGGATAAGAAACAGGAAGAAACCAATTAAATAGGGCTGCAGTTTTTTACTGCTTCAACGTTTCACATCCAGCTGAAGATAATAATTATATCCAGGGCATTTTGCAACAGCTATTAATTTGTAGCATTATATGTATATGTAATGTCTTCATTATACAAGCCAAAATGCAAAATAATTCCTCCCCTCTCCCACCAGTCTTTCTCATTTCCAGAAAGGAAGAAATACAGATTCTAATGCAATATACAGTTACTGAAAACAAAGTGGACCTGCAGTTATATACTCATGCTTTTGTGATGACAAAGTGTCATAGGATCAGGTCTCAATACTGCAGGGATGGGTGAAGCTGAACTACTCAGTTAGTCATAATTATAGGAACTGGCTTCCCCGAAATAAATACATGCTCAAGTATCACTGCAAATCCTCTAGCACAAATATATTGTTACTATATAAGTGTTGATCAAATTTAACAGGGTAGGTGAGTGGAGAAGGAAAACAAAATACCTTATGTAGATAGGACAATGCTATGTGAATGTAAAGATGGAAATATGGAAAGAATATTTTACTGAAGACAAGAAAAAAATGTTAAGTCCATAGAATAATTGTTTGATTATTTTAATGGTTTCTGAACCCATCAATATTACGCAATATTTTAATTACACACAACATTTGAATCATGAAACACTTGAAAAACAGAAAAAAAATTTCACTATCAAACAATGTTATGCAAATTAATCACTGAAGTGCACCCCAGCACACTTATTGCACTGAGATCCTGAGGGTCTCTATTTACCCTGTTTAACATACATGTTTGTTAAGTGACAGTGAAATATGACATACAGGGGGAAAAATTAAGACTGAGGGTAAAGAATGAAAATACAGTTATCTATGTGTCACACAGATGTACCCTGATATAGGTTAGGGAAAGAATGCTACACTTTTATAGGAATGCTCAAAAACACTTAGGTTTTTGAATCAATGTTAAGCATTTGGTTTTCTTTTAAATGTCATAACTAAGGGAATAAAATACTCCATGATTGCAATGAATAAAAAAAATCACTATCCTAGCATTAATCTATAATCTCTTGCAATTTTGGAAAAAATACTAAACATATAAAAAACTAATAAGTTATAATTTGCATACATGAAGTATGTGTGTCTATGTATGTCCCTGTGCATCTGTGCATGTCTATATGTGCATACAAATAAAAGGAACCCATGTCATTGTTAGCATAAGCCATAAACTTTGCTCTGAATAACCTTCACATTTATTTTTTGGAAAATTTATATGTACATTCTTGAAAATCAAACGCCAACTAACATCTCATAATTTTACAAACTTCATTTTCTTCATTTAAATGAATATGAATACTTGTAAAATAAAGAGCTGCTCCAACAGCGCAGTAAAGATGGTATTAACACCACATTTTATACGTCAAGCGGTGGTCTTATTTTTCCTCATGTCAGTGCTACGTTGTTTTGAAAGCTATCTAAACGCTGGTGTAAAAGATTTCAATAAAAAAAAAATTTAAAAAATACAACCTCAAGAATCATATAATTTGCACCAGTAATTATACCCTGGTGTGTGGAAAGCAGCTTGCAAAACTCATCATTAATTCTGCTAGTAAATTACCTCTAGAAATTTATATAGGTGATAAGGAAAATTTAGCCAATAAGTTTGCAGTTGAACCAAATCAGTGACTAGGCATGGAGAAGTTCTAGCTTGTCAGGTGGATGGTAGCAAATCTGAATTTTGATTTGAAAATTCTTCCTATAAAAGAGGGTGGGATTTTTAAATATAAATTCTGGCTAATTATTTGGGCTAAAACATTTAAATACCTCTCCATGTATCACATTCACATCCAAAATGTAATCCTATAAAACACTGGAATTAGTACACATGACAATTCTATTGTGAAAAATTAAAATAACCATCAACTTACATTTTAAAAAATGAAAATAACAAAAAACTATGGATATAATCTGAATCTATTTTCTGAAGTCCTAGGAGAAAGTTTCATCAGTTATGCCTGGTTCCCTGAGAACTTGAATGTTCTGACTAAAAGGCAAGTTTTGGTAAAAAGTATATTTTGACACCGTTCCTTCCCATTCAGAATAAACAATAGTTTAGATAGTTTTAGGTGTTCCATATTCTTTATAGCTAATATTATTCAAATTTCATTTGATGTGAATAATTCTTTTTTCTGAACATCAGGGGTATGTGGTAGGGGAGGGGAGCTATATTTGCTGTACTTTAAAGACTCACTTTCACCTTTCTGGTGCAAAGCAAGAAAAAAAAATATACCACACACAATAATTCCATATACACAGTACTCTTTACCCATGGTGTTTTCCAGTTTTGTCTAGATGCAGCAAATAGATTTCTTCATAGTTATATCCAAAATGAGGAAGTGGCACCATAATGCCTAGATCCACTACAGAAAAACACATTAAAAATGTACACTTCCCCCAAACAAGTCAATTTTATTCATTTAACAATATGCATGATAATAAAAGGCCAAACACAAAGCACTTTATAAAAAGGAGCAAATATATATTCCAGAAGAGTTAGATAAAGGCATGAGATGAATTTCAGTTAAATAGATCTAGTTCTTTGTGAGCTTTGAGAACTTATCTTAGACACTGAATAGAGGCTGAGGGTTTTACATTCTAATCATAGCTACAGATTATGCAGATGGAGAAAAAAAGCATTTTGCTTTAACTCATGCTAAATTTCTACAAAGTATTTTAAAATCAACTTAAAAAACAAGTTTGTACCTCTCCCCTCCATCACAGTTTTTGTAAGTAATGAAGAATTGTACCCGTACAATTGCACAGCGACTAGGGAAGAGAGATGTAGATGACTTGGCCACCCTCTCACAAAGAAACCCCCAAATACTTGAAGGCATTAAGCACAAGGCTTTTGTTATCCAACAGTAATTAGCTGCAGAGCACAGAAACATTTTGGAGCAGAATGTACACAAACATGAGGATCATAAATAGCCAAAACCAAGTACACTAACAGGAAGTTCTTAAAGAAATGCACATGTTCTATGTACCTCACGAAAAATTATTCTCACAGATGTTGAATCCAAGATTTATACAATAGAATATATTTATGTTTTACATTTACTGTAAAAATTATTAATAAAAAAAGGCTCTGATGACAGACAAGAAATCTTACATAAGACATTAATTTTCAGGATGCCCCTAACAGGTCTTAAGTGCCCTGCTCCTACTCTAGGCAAACGCCAAAGGCAGACATCTTCTCAGGGTTCATCATTGTTAAGAGGCAATCAGATTAAGGAAAACTCAAGCAAGCTGGGAAAGGAAGTAAAAATTAAGCCAAAATAGGAATTCTGCCAAGCACAATACACCCTGTTTAAAAAAATTTAAGAACATAAATCAAAGACAGTGGTGAGTACAAGAAAATTTATATTGATGAGCTTATGGCCTTGGTGATAAATATCAAAACAGGAAGTCAGTTCAAACAAGTGTGCAAATAAGTAATGGAGACTGGGGGAGGGAGAGGAGTCTTCAAGGTAAAAATTGCAACATAGGGATTCAGTAATTTCATAACCTCCTTTCCACTTCCAATGTCTACTTCTTATGACATCTCAATAAATTAAAGACCAATTATTCACAAAACTTTAGGTTAGTGTTAACATTTTTTACCTGTTGGATTTAGGACTAGACACGGAGTTGCTTTAATAAGACATTTAATTATAGTTCATCATAATCATCACTTATTTCTCATCTCATTAAGTTAGAAAATTTTACTTCTCATTTAAAGCCCTGGAACATACTTTTAAAAATGATTTTGAGACATGGGTCTCTTTTCTTCTGGTCAGCATTTGTCTAAGCACGTCTGCAAACGTTCTGTCACAGGGGGAGGAAGAGTATTGAGCAAATTCTCCTCGACAATCAGACAGCTTCGCTTCAGGGACTGACACCCTTCTAGTTCAGGAGGAAGTGTTTCCAGGTAATTACCAATGAGCTCCAGATGAGTAAGGTTCGACAGCTCACCCACGTGAGGAGACAAATTCATCAAGCTATTTTTCCCCAAGAGTAAACACTGCAGCTTTTTGCACTGAAATAGCCCATCTGGTAACACCTCAATCTGGAAAGGGGGGAAAAAAAAGAAGCCAGTAAAACCGGGGCTGGATAATACATTTACTCATTTATACTGCTAGCTACCTTTTCCCAAAAACATTTTGGGGGATTTACAGGGATTCATATAACAATAATGATAAATTTCAAACAGATGAAAAAGATAGAGGAAAAATAATGATAGCACTATCACAGGGAGTCAGCCTGAGGCTCCCATGCACACCTACACCCTTGCTGCATAGGGGTCGGCAACACACGTGGCTCTGAACACTCTAACATGCAATTCTTAAAGAAAACGTAGTTGACATACCCATTGTCCTTAAGGTAAAAAAACAAAGCAGTAATTCAGGAGAACCATAATTATTCTTGAGTCTTGGATCAGAAATAAATTACTCTCAAGAGTCTTCATAAAGAGCTTACTGTGTAATGTAATGAGCAACATCCTTAAAAACATCCTGACAACAGTCACAAGGCCATTTCTTACACTGCTTTTTGGGACTGAAAATTTTATTTAAAAAAAAAAAAATCTACTGAAGCAGAGTCAAAAAGATATGATAATACATACAGGTACATTTCCTTCCCTTCTACATACATACACGTACATCTGAGTATTCACCCTCTTCCTGCTCTCTGGAAAATGGTTTCAGCTAAATCATTAAATCATTTATATAACACAGAGAGATAATTTTAAATATGATAAACAGTCTGCAAATTAGGACAACTCCTAAAGCTGTTCACTCAACTGCATCCCTATAGGGTGCAGAGATTTCATGTGACTTCCTAAGGGAGCCACAGTGCATATATGAAATAGGGTGTATTGGGAAATCCTCCAGGAAGTTGAGCACACACAATCCCTTCAACTCATCACCCCACCGAAGGATAAGTTTGGGCCGAGCACAGTTGGCACACACCCACCCTGTAATGCTCCACATGTTGGGGACAGGGAGCATCTATGAACCTATAAAATAACACAGGATCCTCAGTTCAGACGTGGCTTTGTTAGAAACAGGGATGAAAGGGGTTCCCAGGGGCTCAGCCTACATCCTCTGATGGGCCAACGCAGACCTGATGGGAAATGAGCTTCCAGGGCATCCAGAACTCTCTCCTCAAAAGGATAAATATTCTTTAAATAAACTAAAAAATGACCAAACTACATTCAAACATGCTCCTGAGGTTGGAAACTTCCTTCTCCTATGTCATTCACCCCCACTACCCCACATCCAGTGCTGGATATCCTTGAAAATAAATCTAACGATCACCATTGCTAAGACAACATTCAATACAGATCATCGCTGTACACCAAAATACTAGGTATAAGCAAAGGAAAACTACCCTTTAATTTCATTTCCTTCTTAGAGCAGATGCAAATCCATACATATGTAGACTTCAATATTGAGAGTGAGGCAGAAGATGCAAAAGAGAAGAAATATGACCCTTTTCTAAAGGAACCCCTTCTGCTCAGAGACAGCCGTAGCTCAAAACCAGGGTCAGTGATGTCCAAGTGAAGGGAGAAATCAGCCCTGGGTAGAGTGCTCAGGGTTAAGAGTGCCTGCTGGTGACTTAGCAATGACTTAGGTAAACTGGCTGGAAAGGAAGCAGGCATGCCTCCTTTGGGTTCAGGAAACATGTGCTGAGTGCCTCCTGATGTGCCAGGCTCCCTGCTAGGTGCTGAGCAAAACAGATGGCATTCCAGAACTTTAGTCTAACGCAGGCTACCATGAATACCTCGGCCTCGGCACCGCTGACACTCTGGGTGGGAAAATTCTGGCTGTGGGGCTGTCCTGTGTATTGTAGGATGTTCAGTAGCATTCCTCACCTATACCCACCAGCTGCCAGTGCCACTCTTAGTTGTGACACAAAATCAGCTCCAGACAAATGTCCCCCAGGGCAAAATCATCCCCAGTTGGGGAGCACTGGTCTAATGGAAGTGAGAATCATTAGACAATGACATAATCTGTAATGGGTGCTAAGAAGAAAAGTGCCCTAGCCTGAGCTGCACCAGAGTCCCACATCCCCTTCTCCACTGATTCACATTTCCAACTCACTTACACACCTGGCTTAACTGCACTGACTTTCTGCTGGGCAAGTATCCTGAAGACATTGCCCTCCCTTTCCTGTCTGACATTTAGCATACCCTTTCTTGACGGTCAGCACTACTGGGCTCCCACCAGTCCTCTCAAATGTCTAAATTTGTGATTTCAGTGAACTTTTCAGCCTCCAAAGGCAGAGAGATTTCCCAAGGCAGTGGGAGTGAGCCCCCGGGGCAGCCCCTCAGTCCACTGCTGTGAAGGCGAGGTGCAGGCAGTGATTGGCGGTAGCCCTTCCTGTGCGCCAAGCTCCACCTCGGGCTTTCTCCCCAAGTCAGCGCCCAGCTAAGGCGCAGGACCTTAACTCACCTACTCTAATTCAATTTTCCAAAAGCAGCCCGGGAGCTTTGTTAGAGATGCTAGACTTTCCTTCAATGCAGCAATTTTTTCCTGAAGAATCTACTTACAACTTTAAAAACAGTTTGCCTTGAAGCTTACAAGAACACTGAACACATTTTGCCTGGGTCGACAAATTTTATAAAAATGTTAGCTAACATTTATTTATAACTAATTCATTTAGCATACCCTTTCTTAGACCGCAAGAAACATAAACCAGAGAGCAAAACGACCACCTTAATATACCACTGATTTCTTCTCAAAAACCAATGGAAAAGTTTACAGATTATGAGGGACATGATACACTTCATTAACAGAATGGTTTTACAGAATAAACTATAATGTGTAATATATACATACATAAAACAAACTACACAATAAACTATAAAATAAACTGAAAAAAAAAGAAAAACTATGGGCTACATCATCATTATATCCTAGAATTCTCTGGCAACCAAATGTTGCCAGCAAAATGGATGGGAGCCCCCAGAATAAGATTGTTCTCTTTTGTAAATATTATCAATTATCATTGATAATTAAATACCCCACTGTTTCCCAGGGTCTGGGACCTTAATTCTGAATCCATCTCAATGTCAGATTTCATTTTTGTTTCTGGCCAATGACACATGCTATCTCAGGTTACTCTAACCAAACCCATCAAGCCTGATCATTTTCAAGAAACAAAGCTAAATATTTCCATTTCTAGGTAGTGATGCCAAAAACAACAAGCACTGTCACATAAATGATATTCAGAAGAAATTTCTACATTATTCACTTTCTAGCTAGAAGTCTTTGAGTTAATAAAAGAAATAAATACATATGTGTGGAAGTCGGAAGACCTGGGTATAAATTGGAGTGGTTTGTAAGATTTGAGCAAATTTAATTAAATCCTTGCCCACACCTTTTGCTTCTCCATCACAATCAGTGCCACCCTAAACAATTACCTGTTGGCACTGGGATAGGGATGGATCCTGCTTCTTCCTTTCCTACCTTCCATACCCATGCACATACACCATTGTTTCCCAGCAGAGGAAGAGCCAGAACACTTGCATTCCATTCTAGCTCCATCACCAGGAAGCTTTGGACTTCAGATGAGTTACTCTGAGCCTAAGTTTCAGTATTGGTAAAATGAGGGCAGGGGACTAGAGTAAGGGTTGGCAAATTTTTCTCTGAAGGACTGGAAGAATAAATATTTTAGTCTTTATGGGGCAAGAGGAAAAACTGAAAATATTACGTACATAATAAGAGAGAAAAAATTCCATATATTTTTAAGTGATGGAATTCAAAATATAATAATGATTGAGTATAACTTTTTGTTTCATTTGGCCCATTAATGAAAAGAATGGAATGTATTCATGGACACTGAAATTTGAATTGCATATAATTTTTATGTGTCACAAAATATTCTTTTGATTTTTTTCCCTCGACCGTTTAATAATACAAAAAACACTCTTAGTTTGGGCTGTATAAAAACAGACTGTGGGTGGACAGAGTCTGCCGACCTCTGGACTAGATGACTTGTAGTATTCATTTTAGATATAAGAGCCTTTGTGTCTGTTTTTCATCTATACTCTTGCTTCTAAAGCATGACTTATTAAACCTTTCCATGGGGTTTTGTTTCTATGCTGTCCTCTCCCAACCCTTCTATGTGCTACCAGTTCAGGCTAGCTAGCACTGTCGAGCTGAACTCTCACCCAGCCCCTGCCCCATGAATCAAACATGAACTTGACTGGCAGACTCCCAGGCATTCCTCCTTCTGGCCCATCTTGCTAAATGCTTAAATCATCTCTTATCACATCTGGGTATGCCTATTGCAATCCTCTGTGCATGACCTCTACCTTTTTGCACTCCCCTAATCCAGTGTGCTTCATGGAACACAAGGTGTCTTGCTCAAACACATTCTGCAAACATTGCATACCATATCTCCCTCTTGGAGATGCACAATGTGTATTCATACATTAAAGGCTCTGAGGAATCCTGCATCAAAAATATGATCAAAAGAAACATTTATTTAATGTTTTTCATGATGACACATTAGCATCCTTTGGAAGAAACTCTGAAGTGTCCTGTCAGTGAATATCTGTCACCTGGGGGGACTTCTTATATCTAGGGAATTCCCCACCTTATGACGCATAGTAGGTAGCAGAGCTCACTGCCCACTAGAGAAACTACCACTACGGGATTCTTGTGTGCCCAGCCCCCTTATAGCAACAGTGTGGGCATTTATGAGCTGTGCCAATCAGGTGCTCAGACTTGGACTTTGAGTTGGGGCTAATGTCACAAAGAAGTGGAAACCATGAAGAAGTGGAACCTATTTTGTGAGTGGGTAAGGGCTGCGGCAGCAGTAATGCCAGGTTTTCAGGGGCAAGACTGGTGCCCGGTGCTGGTATGGTTTGAGGCAGGGTGTCCTTACCACTCTGCTTTTGTGCTACGATTTTGGCTATGGTCCTCTCTGCTGCCTGACTTTCTTTGTGCCTGACTGTTTTCTCAGTTTGGTTTTACGGCCTTTTCAGTAGTAACACGAGATACCCAATATTATGACAAATGTCTTTTCTGCTTAACTCAAGAGTTAGTGTCTGTTGCCTCCATCTACAAACCTGATACACTGCCCTAGTCTTGAGAACAGATGTTTAAAGCACCTCTTTTTAGAAATCATTACCAACTACCTTTCCAAATGAACTTATTAGCTTAAGGTCTGAGTATATGCATATCTAAATATTTATGCATCCAATTTGGTGCTTTATTTTATAATTTTTATAAATATTTTGGTCTAGCTCAGAATCATGAGATCTCAAAGTTAGAAGGAACCTTGAAATTAGTTAAATCCCCACGTGAAACATGAATCCTCAACTCCCTTTAATAACATTCCCATCAAGTGGCTGGCAGTCTATGGACAGTCTTAATAATAATAAAAATCACTTCTCCTTCCTCAATTGCTCATTCAATGTTTGGACAGTTATGTGGGAAAGACGAGAAAGCTTTCCCTGCTTGTCCTAGTTCTAACACTGTGGCTACTCCCAACAAGGTTTATGCTCCATGTAAATATTTCAGATATTTGAAGACCCATATTGTGGACTATTCTCTCTGCCCCACGGGCACCACACTTCCCATCATAGGGCTAAACTGTGTCATCAGAGAGGAAGCTTTCATCTCCTTGGTGGCTGTCCTGTGAGTGAGTTCAGTTTCTTCATATTCTTGTTACATAGTCTCTTCACAGTGCTTCTTTAACCCCACGTTCTGAGGAGAGTATTCCTCACCCATTGGAAGGTGTCATGTTCATCAGTTTTTGGCTCCAAGGATGCTCAGCAACTGCTTTTCTTCAACTTTATGAGACAAGCCACTCTAAGATACCATCCTATTTTGGCCATAAAGTATGTTCAGCAAAAGACTTTCATGTGAAAGGAGGTGTCTGATAGTCACATCTAGTCTCTCTTTCAGATATGGTCAAGAAGTCAATAAACTTACTGTCAAAAGCACCAATGGTCGTAAGGTTTCATTACATTAATCTAGCAGAAAACATTAACCTGCTCATACAGTTAAATGATGTATTGCCAACTTCAAATTTAATCAGCTGCAACTTTCAAAAATCCATGTAGTGATTTAACTGTATAACTGCTTAGTAGAACCTATGCCTTTCAAAATAATTACTTATACATTTTATTATACATTTAACAATGGAAGAAAATATGGCCAAAATATTAACATTAATCAACTACACAATTAAGTGGCACTAATGATAAACCTCTAGACCTGTGGTTTTCAAAGTGCAATCACTAGGCCAGAATCATCAGCTTTACCTGGAGAAGTCCAGGCAGATTGTAAAGTAGTTTAAAAATATTGCAATCCTTTAAGATCTGAAGATTTCTCATTTTTCTTAGAATGGTCTCTCCGTTTACATACATTCCTCAGAATTTTAAAAATCAGGATGAGTTTTGCTCTCATCCCCTAATTATCTGGTATTTCTCTAACATCCACGGTTTTCAAAAATAATGTCTGATGATTAACATGTTTATTAGCCAACATCATGTTCATAGCTATATTTAGCATGAAATATGAATAACAAAAATCTAGGAGATAATACATTTTGGGATGTGGTAAAAGCTGCGCCTGTTTCGAGAAGAGAAAGATCAATTTCATCTCTTGATTTCTGACAGTTCCCCCCACCCCTTCTTTCCATAGGGACATTACCCTCACTCTCTTGTCCTTTAAATGAGCATGTTTTTTTTTAATTTTCTTTTTCCTCCTCCTTCACATTTTAACCTAGGAAACTACTCATTTATTTTGTTTTTTCATGTTTCTGTGAAGTTAAGTTTTTCTTAACTTGGCTTTACTGTTGCAAATTATGGTTCATTTTTAAGCATGGATGCTGGAAAAAGCTTCTAAGAAGCCCTAGTGTTGCATTATAGAGGCAGGCCTTTCATTTTGAACTGTTTCTAGACATATATGCAGATTTCAAATTTTTTTTACTGCATCACAAAAAGGATTTATGAATAATTCATAATCCCAGCATTTTAAAATAAAGTTATTATATTATGACAGACTTGAAAAACTGAAAAGTTTAACCAAACTTTCTAAGTACCTAACACCTTTCTAAAACAAAATGTAATCTCCACCATAACTAGTTTAAAATATTTTGACTGCGATGTTTATGTAGAAAATGGGGAAAGAGAATAAAGGGAACTAACATTTGTTAAGCAACTATTATGTGCCAGATGCTTAGATATTTTTTCATAAAATCTCCACGGCAACTTGGATGCTTAGTGTTTTGGTAATTTTTCGAAGATGACATGGAATTGGGCTTGGCTCAGAGAACATATAATATGGCTTAAAGTCCATTTTCTTTCCCTACATTACATGCTACAAGCATGGCAGATACTCAAAAGACTAGCTGAATAAAGGGAAGGATGGATTTACTCACGTTGTTGTTGGTCACAGCAAAGTACTGCAGATTACCCAGATATTGGATTTCTTCTGGAATGAAGGTCAGGTGGTTATAGCTTAGATCCAAATAATGGAGTTTGGTGCATAGGAAAAGCTGTAAGGGCAGATTCTCTATATTATTATGGTCCAAAAAGAGCTGCTCTAGGTTGGATAATGCCCCAATCTGTGCAGGAATATAAGCAATGTTATTGTGCCATAACTTTAAGCAGGACAAATTTTGAAGATGCTGAAAGCTAATGATCTCTTCCACAGTTTTAAGGTTATTTTCTTTTAGATCTAACTCATGCAAATTGTTGAGGCTGAAAATAGAGTGTGGGATGCGCTCCAGGTCACAGCTGACCAGTTCTAGGCTTTTCAGATTGACCATCTTTTTCAAGTTGTTCAACACAACTAGCTTGCTCCCCTCGTTATCAAGGGACAACTTCTGCAGTGAAGGCAGGAGGTCTGTAATGACTTGCGGGATCCGGGACAGGCTGCTCTTCAAGTAGAGGGTCCTCAGGTTTTTTAAGTCCTGAAAGCCCTCCAACTGCATGGTACTCAACTGCTCAGGTAGGACACAGCCTGATAGATAAAGTTCCTTGAGGTTCTTCAGGTGAAATACCCAGCGTGGGATTTTTCCCATTTCAGTAAATTTCAGGCGGAGGATTTTTAAGTTCTCCTCCAGGAAGGCCAGTGCGGGATGGTCCACCACCAGGGACGAATGGTACACTCGCAGCTCCCTGAGGTTGACCAGCTGCGAGACCGCAGAGGGCAGCTTCACCTCAGGGATGAGCTCCAGGCTCAGCACTTCCATTTCCGTTAACTCAAAGACGTTGTCCGGAAGCCCGCTGAGCATAAAAAGGTGCAGTTCTATCTTGTCCTGGGAATTTTTCACAAGCTTACTTTTCAGTTTCTCAACTGTCCACTCGTTATTGAGGTTGATCTGTTTCAGTTTGTTCTCACTGACCTCCGACAGGAATATGGAGAAGCGCTTGGAATACAGGGGGTCGTACTGGTCGGCCAGGTGAAGGATGAAAGCAAAGTCATTCTTGACGTCAGGGATGTCACTGTAATTACTTTTTTCTCTTAATGCCTCAAAGGAATATTGCTTCAGGGAACTCCTCAGCATCCACCACAAGCTATAGGAGGAGGTGAGACCATAGAGTATAACCAAAATAACATAAAATGATGCCAGGACCTTAAATATTTCTGCCAGGGAGTAGACGCACTGGTAGCGCTTATAGCCTGTAAAAGCCTGCACGTCAATGGAACAGTCGATTTCAAGAGAGATGTAGGTTAAAAAATAGGGAACATAAGTTATGATGAGGACAAACAAAATGACTTTGACAATGATCTGCTTCAGATACACCCGATAAATGATGTCTTTCTGCTCCACGTGGAGGCGGAATCGTTTCACCTTTTCAAAGATGGCTTTGGCCTGTTCGCCCTCCTTCTTGTCCAGGACACTGGAAGTTGGGCTTTCTATGCTGGCTGACTCCAAGCCCGGCTGCGGGTATGGCAATGACTGCTTGCTGGGATCAACATCAGCTGAACACCCTGAGGCTGAAAGCAAAATCTTGGACTTGGAGAGTTTCAGGGGCCTCACCGACTGCTCGGCCACTGTTTCTGACAGGGCACGCGTGGTCCATGGAGAATCGAAGCACTTGTGAAGGATGGCCACAAAATGCTCGAGCCTGGAACTGGTACTGGGGTAGTGAAGCCAAAAGTTGCTGCAGGCTGCAAAGATGAGTGTGTGCAAGAGCACCAGGTAGGGGAAAAACTTTGCAAACCAATGGAGCTGTTTCTCGTAGCAGACAGCATCGATGTAGGAGTATTGCTGGCGGTGAAGGTCGTTCTGGATTCGGAGGGGGAGCGGAAATGACGTATCAGGATTAGAGGATGCATTCATGCTGGCTTTCAGGATGTCCCAAGGCACAGCACAGTGATTGTCAAATTCCACTTTGCATGGAAGACAGCACAGAACCCTGCTCTGGGTCAGCTGGAGAGCTCCGGCCAGCACGGCCACCAGCAGCATGATCAGGGTGATATAATACCAGAAGACGTCCCACCATGGTTTTAAGATGTGATAAGATGACTGGGCATCTGCTAAGCATTTTAGCTCTGTTAGTGTAATCATGACTTTCCCTTGTAGGAGTACAAACCTGGAAGAGGAAAATAAAAGAAACACTACTGAAGCAAGTACTCACATAAGCATTTAACTCTAGCGCTTGTGCATATACACTCTCCCTAAGTAGGATTTAGCTCAGGGATAAACCTAAGAGGCAGGCTGACCAAGGGCACATAAGTCTTCATGGGCCATCCTAACCCAGCACTGTAAAGTCTCTTAGATGGGAGGCCATTTGGTGACAGCCAGGCTGGATCTGTAAAGAAATTTGAAGGTCGCCTTCAAGGCAATTATCTAGTTACCTCCTGGATCTCAACTCCAGGCTGCACTATTAAAAACCAGGAACTAATTTTTCTTCAACTGACATTGGAAAAACGTGTTCTTACGCTGCTAGTTTCTAAGTCATTTATACCCTCCAAAATATCTGAATAAGCTCCTTTTCCTATCCTGCCCAAGTCTGGAGCATCAGTTGTAGCCTGAGAATTGTTTCAATCAGAAGAAACCTCTTTGGAGCAGGCTCTGCTTTATAAAATTATCCCTTAGGCTTAGAGGGATCTACTGATTCTATGCCCAAAATAAACTGTCAGTGAATGCATTATCTCCTTTCCTCCAAGCTCTCTCTCTGTAATTCAAGTCCATGACTATTTAAAAACTTAGGGTATTTAAAGGTTGGGAAACAACAGTAATGGCCTAAAAAAGGATAGGGAAGAAAAACTCTGTTAGAATACCCTCTTGTGGGGAACTCCCTCTCATGTTTAATGCTATGGTAAAAAGTATTAAAAGGATAAATGATGAAGGCATGTTCTATTATTAAATTATTACTGCCTTCAGAAAAGCAAGATAATTTTGTATTTTCATATTGAAAAGCATTCAGAAAGCATTCCTGAGAATTTATCTATTTAGCCTTATATACATCAATTATTTAAAAAATTGGGCCAGGCGTGGTGGCTCATGCCTATAATCCTAGCACTCTGGGAGGCCAAGGTGGGAAGATTGCTTGAGGTCAAGAGTTCGAGACCAGCCTGAGCTAGAATGAGACCCTATCTCTACTAAAAATAGAAAAATCAGCCAGGCATGGTGGCATGTGCACCTCTAGTCCCAGCTACTTGAGAGGCTGAGGCAGGAGGATTGCTTGAGCCTAGGAGTTTGAAGTTGCTGTGAGCTAGGCTGATGCCACAGTACTGTAACCCAGGTAACAGAGCAAGACTCTGTCTCAAAAAAAAAATTTGCTTATTAGAAAAATCCAGACCAGCTATACAATGGCACAGAGTAAGAGAAAAAGAAATATACAGATTGTAATAATATCTGTTAAGAAAAAGAAAAAAAAATCATGGTATCATGGTTACCCTTTACTGATCATCCACCTCTAACCTGTGCCCAAAGGCTTCTTCTGGACGTTCTTGAGTCTGTAGTCTTATCATCTATCCTGGGCCTGAGTTTCTCTCTGGATACCCTAGCACTGGCAGCACCCCCAGGGAAGCCTGCTTTGCTCCCATTAGTTCTCCTTGTGGAGACTGGTATCCCGCCTTGAACCCTAACATCCCACTAAAGAGGCCCTGCTCCCTGCTAGTAAGTACATTCTCTTTTGCTGGTCATCTTCAGAATATTCCTGACCATCTGACCCTGAACCCTATAGCCTCCTGCTCTCCCACCTGTTAGGGCATCCCACAATCCCTGATTTTAACTGCTGGACTAGAGTACCACTTACTGCCTGTAGCCTTTCTAGGCATCAAATCCTATTATATAGATTCGACTTCCTCGTAGGACCTGAGGCTTGATTATATAACTCTCCAGGGCATCTCTCCTTTACTCTAGTTCAGTGGGTCTATTTCTAACTCTCAATTCCTCTTATCGTGCCTCACCTCCTGCCTCAGACTCCCGAGTGGCTGGGACTACAGCCTCTCATAATTGTTTGTCAAGGCAAGACAAAAACCAAAATGAGAGGATTATATGAGACAAATTGTCCTGGACTTAGACCTCAAAATACCATAAACATGATGGGACAGGGCCTGGCAGAAAACATTGCTGGCTGAAAGAATGTGTGAAAAACACCTAGAGATTTTAGTTGATGCATATGCATACTTTCAGCTGCTCATATGATAGCTAGTATGCTAAAATATTGATTACAACCTTTGGCCATATTAACAAGTGGGCCCAGATAACGGAGCAACAGTCCTTCTGTGCCTGCCTGGTGATATCACAACTAGAACCCAACGCTCATTTTTAGGTTAAAGATGAAATGGGCAACAAAATAATTAGGAGCTACTGTCTACAAACCATTTGCTACGGAGAAACACAGGTAATTGATGAAATGCAGCTGGGATAAAGGATGACTAGGTGAACCTGAGAATTTTTCTTTACATTTTTGTGCAACTATCTCATGGATGAAAGAATAAATGGATTTGTTCCAGAGGTAGAAGGAGGTGAGTGGAAGTTTTAGAAAGTCATATTTTGATTCAGTCTCTGGTAAAACATCATCAAACCAGCTGCTCTATGAAACAGTTCCTCTCCCTGTCTTGAGCAAGGTCTAGATAAATAAAATGACCATACATCAATAGAATTTGTTGTTGCAAAGGAATTTCTTTCATAAAGAGAATGAACAACCAGACAATCTGTATAGGCTCTTCCAGTTCTAAGTTCATGATGTTATCTGCCCTCTCAAAGGCCCTGAGAGTCAAATTCACTTATGAAAAGCAGCTGGAAATTGCAGAAGAATGAAAACATCCATAGCTCTAACAACGGTATATTTAACAGAGAGTGAATATTAATATTTATTCAACAAAAAGTACAAGTCAACATTGACCAAAATAATGTAGTTTAAATATTTATACTTACTATAATGAAAAAAAAATGAATCAAACAAATCAGCTACGCTTCAGTCAGGAGGTCTACACCTTTTGAAATTTCTTAGACACACCATCTCTGTGTTTGTCTTCATTCTGTGAGAAAGCAAAAACACCTTGAAATAGCTACAAACAGAAAAAATTGGAGATACTGTCTTCAGAGACCCTCTCCATCATAAGACATGATAAGGCAAATAGATTTTCACAGCTCAGGTTCCTTTTCACACAGGGGGATACTGTGGGCAAAGCTGTATCTACAGGACCTCACCCACATTCGTCAAACCATACTCACTCCCCTGAACTCTTTCGATTACAGAGATGTTTCTACAGAAATTTAGATATAACATATTTTAAAATTCTGTATCTATAACACTTAGCTTTTTCCAAGTAATCTACATATGTTAATTTCTCTCACTCAGTCCTCATACACAGTTGTTCTTATTTGCATATATCAGATGGCTTGTCAAACCATGTGATTTCTGCACCCTTATTTAAAACCACACATCTACCCAAACAAGAACTCTCAGTGCTCCTAAAATTGAGCCTACCAATTTCATTGGAAAAAGTCACAAGTGAATATATTTTTTCAGTCACAGCTCAGAGATATGGCTGAAATCCCCTGAAATTCTGATATCATTAAATATAGCTAGCCTTTATATTAGATTTTTTTTTTACTTTGTAGATTAATAAAACCCATTCTTAGCATATATGCTTCAATCATTTGTGATAGTTAAGTTTGAACTGTGAGAAAATTCTGAAACACTAGAATTTTTTAAATTGAATATGAAAATTATATTTTTTAATGCCTATGGAACTTCAAAAAAGTTGCTGGGAAGGTTTTTACATTTTCTCTGAAGATACAATCCATTTATTAATTTATTAAGTACTTGAAGTCCAACTAAGAACTGACCTCAAACTGTATTTAACTGTATCTGTATTTAAGATATTTTTAGCAATAACCTTGTCTCCTTGTCATTTCAAATATCAAAAAGTTGGGCATGTCCTGAAATTTACTTTGGGTTTACCAAGTCATGTGAAAAGCCTATTTTATAATTAATCACCATCCAATGTCAAATAGTTTTGCAGGTTAGAAAGCACAGTTGGTATGTATAACACCCTAGCTGTGCACTAACTCATAATTATATGACCCTACTGGAGTATAAGTTTTTCACTCATAATTCACAAGCCTTTATAAAAGGCTTACAGAATATATTACATGACTGCATTTATGTGCCCTGAGTATGTTAAAGACATCTGATGTGTGAAACATTTCACATATTCTTCCATAGCATTGAGTTTATAACATGCCTGAAAATAATTTATTGCATAATTCCAGAATGCTACTCAGCCATCACCATCATTCTTATACAATAGTTTCCTTTAACTATTACAGATACATTTTCTACTTTATTATTAATAATTTAATATTTGTTTTTCTACTTTCAAAGCATGTTTCATTTACATTAATTTGTTTAAACTTATAACAAACCATTGAGATAAATAGAACTATTCTTCATATTTTGTGAACATGGAAAATGAGGCAGATCCAAAGTATTTATCTTGTACAAGGTGACAAAACTGGCAAGCAATAAAGTTACAACTGGAACCTGGGTCCTCAGACTTAAATCACAACTTCATCCATTCCAGACTACATGGCTTCAGTCAACCCAATTAACTGTGCCACAGTCTCAGTTCTCTCAAAAGCTGAAGTTATTTAGCTTTCTCCTCCAATTTACCCCAATATCTGAATTATTACTGAGTTCTATTATAATTTTTGAATAGGATGCAAATGTTGCTTTCTGCCAGGTCTTTGCTGGTATATTATATAATTTAATTTCTCAGCTAAACATTTTTCTACAATTTTTTTTGAGACAGAGTCTCACTCTGTTGCCTGGGCTAGAGTGCCATGGTGTCAACGTAGCTCACAGCAACCTCAAACTCCTGGCCTCAAGCAATCCTACTGCCTCAGCCTCCTGGTAGCTGGGACTACAAGCATGTGCCACCATGCCTGGCTAATTTTTTCTGTATATTTTTAGTTGGCCAATTAATTTCTATTTTTAGTAGAGATGGGGTCTCGCTCTTGCTCAGGCTGGTTTCGAACTCCTGACCTTGACCTCTGCCTGCCTTGGCCTTCCAGAGTGCTAGGATTATAGGTGTGAGCCACCGTACCTGGCCACTACAAGTATTTTTTACTGAATTATCTAAGTCTTAATATTTAAATGTACAGCATCCAGATTTAAAGATACATGAAAAGTCTCAAGCATTCCTATATATTAAATTATGCTAATTTTTCTAATTGAAGCATTTCACTGGAGAGTTTGACCAGAGCTGTCCTTTGTCATTAAGCCATTTAGTACTGTCTGCGTGTCCAGGAAATTTTTTACAGACCATATTTTAGCAAATGATGAGGATTCAATCCAAATGCATTTTCAATTTCTAATATATAAAAATGTACTAAATCAGTTCAAGGAAATAATGTTAAAAGCAATGATTTTATGGTTCTCATCCATTCCTTTAGCTTTTAAACCTCATTAAAAAGTCATAAAACCTTTTCACAACACATGAATTCACTTGACAATCTCATTCCAAAGTCTCTAAGACTGTAACATCAACACTCGAATTAAGCATCTTTACTTCCCAGTACTTCTTATTTTATGTTCAAAGCATTTCCAAAATAACTAGCGAAAAAATAAACAAATGATGATCAGATGGTATTTAGAGTCATTATATGCTGAGAACTGGATGCTACTTCAAAGATCTGTCTTTGACCCCAGGCAGGGATTATAGCCAAACAATTCATAACAGCAGTTCTCTACACTATGCTCAACTGAAAATTGATTTTTATTTTTTCCTTTTTTTTAATTTCGGCATATTATGGGGGTACACGTTTATATTGCCTTTGCCCCACCCAAGTCAGAGCTTCAAGCGTGTCCATCCCCCAGACAGTACACATTGCACCTATTACGTGTGAATATATCCATTCCCTCCTCCCCCTCCCTGATTTTAAAATCACCTTATATTCCTTCAAAATGTTTAGTGCTACTTCCCATCAAGATGTTTCTTGAGTCTTATATTTAATTGAAATTTAAATTCATCTCTTTGAGTTCTCTAGGAAAGAATGCATCAGTACCTCTGATTAACTTGCACCTTTATACTAAATAACTCCTTTAACCCTCTTCAGAGATCTGATGACAAGCATTTAACATTTCTCAAGTACTTAAATCATTACCAGCAATAACACTTAATACACCAGTGTCTGCATCCTCCTTACCAGTTCTTTCATATCTTGTCAGTGCAGGGATTTTCAAATAATAAACATACTTCCCAAACTTAGTTGTAGTCTTGAGACCTAGAAAGAAACTAAAATTTATCTAATAGTGTTTCCCTAACATTAATATCCTTAAAAATCAGGGCGGGCGTGGTGGCTCACGTCTGTAATCCTAGCACCCTGGGAGGCTGAGGCGGGCGGATTGTTTGAGCTCAGGAGTTCCAGACCAGCCCGAGCAAGACCAAGACCCGTCTCTACTAAAAAAATAGAAAGAAATCAGTATGTATATATATATACACACATGGTGACACATGACTGTAGTCCCAGCTACTTGGGAGGCTGAAGCAGAAAGATCGCTCGAGTCCAGGAGTTTGAGGTTGCTGTGAGCTAGGCTGATGCCACAGCATTCTAGCCCGGGCAACAGAGTGAGACTCTGTTTCAAAAAAACAAAAAAAAAATCACTCAGATCTTATTAAAACACAACAGATAGGTCCCACCCTCAGAGTTTCTGATTCATTAGGTCTGAAGCCTGTCTCCAGAATGTGCATTTCTGACAAATTCCTAGTCCATGTTGGCGTTGCTGGTCCAGTGATCACTTTTGGAGAATCACGAATCTAAGACAGTGATTCTCAGTCTTGACTTCACATAAAACCCCTGGGGCACTTTTAAAAGAAACCTTAACCCAGGTGCCCCCTTCCACACAGCAATTTGATTGGTCTAGGGTGAGGCCAGATTTCTTTTTTTTCCAAATCTCCCTAGGAGGAGAAAGCACACAAGATAGACTGGCAACAAAATATCTGGGAAACTGCCGACTACCTTTTAGGTCTACTTGGAAGTTGCACTAGATGTCTAGGATGCTCCCTCCCGTCCACAGATCACAAAGTAGCAGCTCCCCTCTCCCACTGAACCATTCAGAGATTTAGGTACTCAAGGCAGGAGAACAGTGAGTCAATGAGACACAGAGATTTGCAGGATGGATTAGAAAAAAGGGGACCCAGCTGAAAGGCTATTTCAATTATGTGAGTGAGAAATAATAAGGAAGAATTTTACAATATGTTTGAAAAGAAAGCAAAGATGAAATAGTCACTGTACGTTAAAACTAAACATCATCCAGCAACATCTGACAGAAAGATCCATGGAGAAAAGCAGGAGTCATATGGACTCAGATTTTGATCCTATGCTATTAAAGTGTCTTATAGTTTCTAGCACATGATGCACAATAAATATTTATACAATAACTAAATATGTAAAAATACAAAAGCAGGAAAAAAAATCCAGTCATTTCGATGTTTAGGCAGGGTGTATTCAAGGTGACAGAGCCTTTCCCTGGGGGAGGCAAGAACTCAGCAGCATATAGATGGAAAGATTTTCACTAACTATTCTGCATATTCCCATCCTTGATAGCTTAAAAAAAATAGGTTTTATTTCTCAAGATTCAGTGGGAGGTTCTTTACTTCATGGTGTTGGCTGGCATAAAGATGACTAGAAGGTCCAAAATGTCCTTGTTCCTTAGGCTGGTAGTTGGCACTAACTGCTGGCTGGTAACTCCTTTGTGTGAGACTACCATGTGGCTCTTTGTGAGTCCCCACTTAGCATGGTGGCTGGGTTCTAAGATGGTGCATTCCAGGCACAGAAGTGAAAGCTGCAGATTGTTGAAGCTACACGGTGCTGGGTCCACCAAAATCTACTGGTCAAAGGAGTCACGGGGCCAGCCCAGATTCGAGGGGAGGGGAAGCAAACTTTACCTTTCAGCGGAGGAGTGGCAACGAATTTGTAGCCTGGCTTTGTCCTCCATAGTCTACTCTCTGGCTACAAATGATTGCATTGTACCACATGCAAAGTGCACTAACCCTCCCCCAAGTCACCCAAAAGTTTCATCCCATTATGGCATCCAATTTGGACCTGAAGTCCAGGATCTTGTCTTCTAAATCAGGTGAAGGATGCTGTGGGGCAATATCCTTGAAATTCTTAGGAGCCCTTCCCTCTAGCTTACAGGATTCAGGAGGCGCTCACTGCCTTAAATCTTTCTGAAGTTTTAACACCAGGTCTTACCGCTGTGCCTTTGTTTATTTTCACCTCGACCAAGTTTTACTGGCAGTAGTGCTCGGCTCTGATCTTTGGAGCTGAGGCCATTTCTTTCTTTGAGTACCTTTTGCTGCATAGGAGAGCTAGGGATGAGAAACAGTTTTATTTATGACCCTAGAAAATTCTGGAATGGAAATATTTTCTCTAGAGTCTGTTTAAAATCTGAACAGTTTCTTCTTTAATTCATCTCTTCTTTGCAATTCTTTGATCATAGGTGGTTAAAAAAGAGTGTCAATTGGTGCTTCTGATACTCTGCTGGAAAATCTCCTAAGCTAGATCCACTGGGTCATCAGGCTTATTTTCTGTTTCATGTTACTGTAGGTGATAGTCTTGCTGATTTTCCTGTTGATATAAAGCAAGAATGCCATTTTACATTCTCCAGTAGCAACAGTATTCTTATTGCCCTCTGAACTTCATTGTCACCTGGTCCCAAAGCTAATGCCATGTTTTTTGTTATGGTGGGGCCTCACTTCTGGGTACCAGTTTTTCTTTTGGTTCTTTAGTTGCATAACAAAGCACACCAAAACTTAGTGGCTAAAATAACATTTCATGATTTCTTGTGATTCTGTGGAATGATGAGGCGGTTCATGTGGTGTTGGCTGGAATGCTGGAATGGTTAGAAGGTCCAAAGTGCCTCAATCACAGGGCTGGTACTTGGGCTGGCTGCTGGCCGTGAGCCCAGCTTGGACTGCTGACCAGGGACCTTGTCAATCCCTCACATGACTGATTAGGCTTCTGCACAGCAAGGGGCTAAGATCTAAGAAGCAATATTTCCAGCACATGAAAGCAGAAACTACAAATCTCTTAAGGCACTGCCTTGGAAATTACTCTCTCCCCTTTCTTCCACATTCTGTTGATCAAAAGAGGGAACAGAACCAGCCAGATTCAAAAGGAGGGGGACGAAACTCCATCTTTTGATGGGAAGAGCTGCTAAGTATTAGTAGCCATCTTTAGTCCACCAAGTCCACCATGGGAAGTCACGTGCTTGTAAGTAGTGGACAGTGCCACAAAGAAATGAATTCTTTGAGAGAAAGAAGGGAGTAAAGAACAGAATCTCTGTCCCCTCAATAAAATATCAGATGAGGAAGGATTGTTAGATGAGGAAGAGTAAAAGAGGATAGAGAAGCCAGGTTAGTGAGATAAATGCCAGAGTAGTTCCGGAACACAAAAGTCAGAGTTATAAGGAAAGGAGCTGACATCATAGTCAAATGATCCAGAGAAACCAAAGAAGAATAGAGACATGTAACTACCATTCCACAGCTGTTTATACAAAGTTGTAGAATAATAATTGGTCTATGAAACAATCAGGAATAATACTCTAGGCCAGAAGTGGTGGCTTACTCCTGTAATCCTAGCACTTTGGAAGGCTGAGAAGGGAGGATCACTTGAGGCCAGGAGTTTGAGACCAGCCCGAGCAAGAACAAGATCCCATCTTTACTAAAAAAAGAAAAAATTGCCAGACATGATAGCACAGGCCTGTAGTCCCACCTACTTGGGAGGCTGAGGTAGAAGGATTGCTCAAGCCCAGGAGTTTGAGATTGCAGTGAGCTATGATGATGCCACTGTACTCTAGCCCCGGGAGACAGAGCAAGACCCTCTCTTAATAATAATAATAATGATAATGATAATGATAATGATAATACTGTAAATAAAAGGAAGTCACCTTAATCATCTGAAGCTCCAGGAGAAAGTTATTGAATAAATGAAACCAAATACATAGTTATAAATATTAAATTAAATAAATAAATTAAAGTTATTAAGTGAATTAAAACCATGTGAATAACTCTAGAAATCCTAATGAAATCTGAGTTGTTCTGAATTTTCAGGAACATTGCTTTACTTTTCCTTATTTCTGGAGTCAAAGATTCTATCATATATTTAATATAGATGGCAATTGTCCCTTTAGGAAATGATCTCTCAATTCTTTGTCAGTAAGCTACCATATTATCTAAAATCCATTTAAAATAAAAGAAGTTACAGACACAGTATTGTAATATTAACACTAGAGCATAGGCCACCAGTGGCTAGATAATTCTTGGAAAGAAGGTGTAAACAGCAGGCAACCTCAAATTCTTCTCCATCACCTTTCGTTGTTTGTAAAAATATTTTCCTAACCACCCCCCTCCCCACAACAGTAAGCAAGCCATAAAAAAGTACTGGAGAGCCAAACCCAGTCCCTACGTAATTCCTTGCGAATCATACACACTCTCCTTTCAAATGACAGGTAGACAACAGATATCATCACTCCATTTGCTTCTCGTTTCTTTCACAGGTGATCTACCTTACACAAGACCAGAACCATGTGGACTATTTAAGACAACTATTGAAGACAACATGGAAATTGAAGTCTACTCTTTACCTGGTAAATCAGGAAACTAAAGTTCAGAGGAGTTTAAGTGGCTTCTGTAGGGTCAAAAAGCAATAAAACATGGGCTTATAACCAAGGGTCCTAATTTGAAAAGAACCGAAAGGTTGGTAGCACTGATTCTAGCCACCTTCCCTAATTAATAATAGGCCTTCTGAACAAAATAAACATGAAGTTGCAAATATAGTCTAGAACATTTCTATGGTACAATTCTTTTTTTAAACAATAAATCAAAATAGAGAGATATTTTAGCTCTGGGACAAACCAGTGTATTCTACAAATAGTTAAAAAAAATATGAATGAGATGCTAATCTTAATCTTTTCTCTAAAGTTAACCTTTGTATACATTCAATTATGGAGGCTAGGTACTACAAAGGTAGACCCAGGAAATATAAGGCCTTGTCTCTGCCTTTCCAGAATTTACAATCCTATTCTAGAGAGTAGACATGCATAGTTGAAAGTTGGCACCGTCATCTTATAATGTCATGTCTGCGTCCACATGAGTGGGATGATGGGCTAAACCTAATAAATACGACATGTGGTTTTGTGCAAATAAAATGGCCAAAGAGAATGGGTGAGACCTCACTGAACAGCAGCACTTGTTAAAGAAAGGTCAGGATTTTAGCCTGTTCACACAGCAAATGTTTAGAATGCCTATACTGTACCAGGTGCAGTCCTAAATGTTTGGGAAATACAGGTGTGCAAGACAGATAGGATCTCTGCTCTCATGGGCTTTACCACGTAGTGAGAGAAGAGAGACAATAATCAAGTATACAAACACAAAAGATCAGAAATGCTACAAAGCATATAAAGTCAGAGAAGGCCTCTTTAGAGGGACTACCATTAGCATGGAGAGCAGAAAGGAGCCAGCAATGGCAGAGCATTCCAGGCAGAAGGAGCAACAAGCTATGTGAGGATCAGAGAGGAGGCCACTCTGGCTGGAATGTCAGCAACCTGAGGAGAGTAGAAGAATGACAAAGGGCCTGCAGCCAAGGTAAAGATTTTGGATAATAAATAGTTCAGGAGTAGTGGAAAAGTCACTGAAAGGTCATAAGTGGAGGAGAGGCAAAATCTGTTATCAGCTTTAAAAAATGTATAGTTAGTTCAATGAATCAGCATGGAAATGTGGATATACACCAAAGCCAAAGGACCTTTACCTTCATCCTTAAAAAGAAGAGTGTTCAGAATGTAGTAGGTGACAGACCCCCTGTTTTCATGACTGATTCACCTGGACTATGTGATCAGAGCTGGGTGACGCTTTTAAGACATTCGCTGTGTTCGCAACACTGGAAAGTTGTGCTATTTAAGACAGTGTATAAATTCATCATTCAGTGTGTCAAACTCAAAAGCACTGCCACAGAGCTAACTTAAGATTAATCTTCCACAATTATATAAGAAGAACGATATTTGCAGCAAGCAACAGAGCATATGGTGTGTATATTTCTGACTTATCTACTTAAGGAAAGCATGGCCATCTTTTACTTAATAAAAACATGGCAAAACTAATTCTAAGCATTAAAAATGCTATCTTCAACAAAAATTAGGAAAATAAGACATAGACATTATTCTCTCATGGCCATTTATTATATTCCTTAGATCTTTAATGTTAAAAAATGACAAATATGATACAAACATACTTTCCTACATACTAAATCCCACAAAGGACAAGAGGATGACACTTTTCCTAAAATGTATAGTTTTAATTTTCTGTTTATTAACTGGTTTAAAAACCTCAAAAAGATTTTACTCAAAACATCTGTAAAATGAAAGAGATTTTACTCAAATTTTACATACTAAGTATTTAGTATTTATTTACCCCAAGCTACCAACACATCTTTATCATATGTTCCCAATTCAGGATGTTAATCTTACCCTAAGAATGCTGGTCAACTGGAAACTCTGCAATTAGTTTCAATTTGAAAAATTCCTAAAGAGAAATCATAAACATATTGTTATATTTTACATATCACAGGAGTGCAAGATAATTTATCCACTTATACGGTTCTAAAATTTCCAACATATATAATAATTTTATGAAATATAAAAAAGGTAATTTAAAAAAATGAGTATTAAGAGATCACCTTCCGACTTCTCACAAAAGGTGTTTTCTATTAATCAGGGAGATATAAAAATTACTGTCACAAATTATCAATTTAATCAATCTACAAAGCACAAAATAGGAACATTCAACTTTCAATGGAGAATGAGACAAGTATTATATCTGAGGACCATGGATTTTATAAATAAAAGATAGAAAAAACAAATTGAAAATATCTATGCTTCGTAAATTAAATACCAGAAACATGAAAAAGACTTAATCGTTGGGATAGTTTTCTCCATCTAGTTTTTGTTCTTTTTGCTAATCTGCTAGTTTTCTACAATTATGCCACTGTAAAATTCAATGGCACAATAGTGATATCCGCTTTTGCCTCTTTCATGTGCTTTCTTGATATTGTTACGAAGTCTCTTTAAACATCATTTTTGATGGAAGCATAATAATTCATACATGGATATGTTCTACATTATAAAATCATTTCCCTATAGAATCTTAGGTTTTCCTTTACTACTAATAATGATGTAAACATCTCTGTACTCTGCTCATATGGAATCTTTTACATATACTTCCAAAATGAGAGTATGGGTCATAGAGCATGAACATTTTAGGGCCTCTGATATATAGTATCAAATTATTTCCCAAAAAGATTAGACTAATTTTCTTTCCTGTAAACAATACATGAGTAGCACCTTACTGGATTTAGGAATTTTCATTAAAAATAATAAAACTTGGCTAATTCCATACGTGAAAAAATGATCTTGTTGCTTTATTTTGCATTTCTTTGAGTTGGGCTGACTTATTTCAGCATGCTTATTAACAAGTTTCATCCTTCTTTTCTATTTAACATTTACCTAAATGAGGGGGATCTTTTGCTGAGAAGATATAAATGTAGAACTTAACAACAGCTGTCTCATAATGACAATTTGTCATCTCAGGGTGAAGACACTGCTGTCAAGTAAAACGAAATACCAAAATGTAGCTGAGTTTAAACAGGCTAAAACCAAATCATTCAAACTAATTTTGGAAACTGTAGCGAAAGTTATTGCTTTTCTTCCACCTCAGCAGAATGCAGAGGCGCCACATTGAAAGAATGAAATGTGAAAATACTAAATGGCAACGCTTCTTAGAATAGAATAAAGAGTCCATATTAGGCAGAGTAAAAAGAGGACAAAGACTGTCACAGCAATTCTGACAGCCCCAGCTGCGGAGACAGGCGGCTGTGTCAGTGGTTCTCCAGCTTGCCATGCTAATGAGCATCACCAAACAAGCTACGCCTACGCCCTCAAAAACATTTTCTCTCCCAGTGGCAGGACACAAGACATGTGTATTTTAACTTGCATAATCAATTCCAAGATAACCTAAAAAAAAGATACTCTGGAAGATTTGGAGGTAGCATGCATAACACTGAGAAGCCCCTTCTTCCTTAAATAAGAGCTCCTTTCAGAAGGTTCCCTGTGAGGGACATCGAAGGGAATACTCCCAAGTGACTAAGGATTAGAGAACAATAAGGCAACAATCAGGTTTCTGGTAGAACAATAAAAGGCCCCAATGCTTTTACTTTGAAAATGGAGAGGTCTTGATGCTTTTAATTCCTCTGGTCAGTAGAGATAGTACATTTGACAAAACAAACTCCTTTTTAGGAGAGCAAAGAACTAATACACAATTTTGGAGTCTGATAATGGTTTTCCATTTGGGTGCATTTGTCTTTTAGTGCTACAGTCCTCAATCCCCTGGCCGTAGCCCATTACTGTTCTGTGACCTGTTCGGAAATGGGCCTGTCATCATGGCCTGAGCTCTGCGCTCCCCCTAACCCCACACGACACCCCATCCCCCATTCAAGGTCTGTGGAAAAATTGTCTTCCATGAAACTGGTCCCTGGTGCCAAAAAGGTTAGGGGGACTGCTATATTTAGTGATAGATAAATAAAGTCTTCAGAGGAAAGTGCAAGAAGTGAAGAATCTCTGGTCAAAGGACCTGTATCAGGTTAAAGGCATAGTCATGGGACATCACTTTGCAGCTATAGCAGGAACCACTGCAATATCATACTCATTCACCCCACCTTAGGCAATTGTAAAAGTTTAGGGCTTTAGGTTACATAAAATTAAAGTCTCCCATTTCATCAATTTGAAGAGTTCAAAACTATGAATAAGAGATGGATTTAAAAGAGGGACATTCTATTTCATCATCTGTCCCACTCTGGGGTCAAGTGGAATCACCTCCATGAGCTGCCTGAATGGCCACTAGCTGAATTTGCTGCTCCTTCATCTGTGTTCCTAGAACATACTAACATTTCTCTTATACTGTTTTAGAGTATGTATTAAACTATTGCCCCAAGTTCCTTGAGAGCCAGGGCAGTATCTTATTTATCTATATCCAAGGGATCTATCACAGTGTCTCTGTCCAGGACTAGATTAAGGTCCTGGAGATTATGGCAGCTGTCACATACTGATTCATCAATGGAGTGTTTAAAAAAATCTCTGGAAAATTAACTAGATTAAACAAAAATACTACCTATCAGAGCTTTTCTCAGGGAGAATATCGAATGTGGTTGGAAGGGATGATCAGGACTCTGACTGCTATTTCCTCCTGGGCAATTGAGATTCTGGGAACTGACAAAAGGAGGATGCAGGGAGGCTCTTTTGCTACCCTTTTCACATACAGTGCTTGTCTTCTCCTCTTAAAAATGTGAACAAATACTTAAAGACTAACAGCCTGAAGTGGCACCAAATCCACAGCATGCCCAGAGCCCAGAGTAACAAATGCTGAGCCCCTCTAAGGTGCCCCCATTTCTCATTGTTGCCTCTGCCAGCATCATGAATATTTAGGAAATCATTGTTGAGTCAATAAATGATACCAGATCAGGTTTTACCACCCAGGTAGGAACCAGGGGTACAGAGGAGGAGGCCTGGCTCTTGAAAGGATCTGCAAACACAATTGGTGCACACACACGGTGGGTTGGGAAGAGTGGCAAAGCACATGGTAGGAACACAGCCCTAGGCACTTCCATCACCCCATGGCAGGCACAGAGATTCAAAAGCAGAGGCTAAGCCTTCATCCCCTCAGGAAGAAAGGAGAAAAATTTATACTTGCCAACTCACCCACCAAACATGACATCTCACAAATCTGACTGGAGAACTGCTGTCAAATTCAGCATGACTGGCTGCATCATAATGACTGTGAGTCATTTTAAATCAGTGATAGCCCACTGGATAAATGCCACAGCATTCTAAAATGACCTTAATAGCTTACTGAATTATGATTTCACAATTATTCTTTTGCCCAAGTTAACCTTAGTATAATACAACAGGAATAATGCTGGGAGCAATGGAATTATCAAGTCATCACCCAAGGATGTTGTGCATCATGCTGTTCTGTGTCCACTTGCCCTGTCTGCTTTTCCCCAAGACCATGAACTCTGGAGGGCCAAGACCCTTCTTTATCCCCTAGGGCTTGTCACATATTAGGTACTTCATAAATATTATAATTCCACAATTCTGTGAGCTATGATCAAGCTGACAATATTGCATGTTCTTGGATAGTTTCAGTCTCATAAAGCTAGTAACTTTTGATAGTGATGAAGGTAAAGAATATTGTATCTGCTATAACACATTCTTAACCCAATGACAAAATCAAATTGTCACACATTGTGAATCAGCCTAGTGTTTCTACCTCAAGCTAATTTCTGATCCCAAAATAAAAATGTTTAATGTTCAGTATTAAATGACTATTAAACACAAAAGACGTTTAAAAGAAACACTGCTACCCTACTTGACCCCCAAACAAGTAGTTGCTCCTTACTTCATGTTTCTTTAGCATTTAGAGAATATTGATAGTTCTATTCTACTTCCATTAAACTGCATCCCCAATATCTGGTTTGATGCTTTTCTGCCTCAGCTTTTGAACTCTAAGAAGACTTGATTGTGCAGGAAAGGACCTGGCACTCGACAGAGTCTCAGAAATCGCTTGCAGAATGGAAAGGGTGGTGGGAGACAGAAAGGGGAAGGCTAACACTTCCTGTGTACTTGGGGAGGTTGCTATTACTATCTCCACTCTAAAGGTGAGAAAGTTGAGGATCAGAGAAACTAAGAAACTCGATGAAGCACACAAGCAAACCCAGCACTCATACCAGTTCTGACTAAGAGCCATATGCTACACGGCCTCTCCAAAGAACTATATAAAAAGGAGTTTTATATAGAATATGACATCTCTACTTTTCAAAGCTACAATCTATCTTTTAGAAAAACTAAAATGACAATTTAAAAATGAGATCTCTATTGTTTTCCTACCTCACTATTCAGTATTCTATCTAGTGAAACACAATCAACAAGTGCTTCCTCCACCCTATCTACTTATTAAATAATTAAGATTGACATGATACTTAGGCAGAGTGAGGATGCTTCCTGCTTCCATCAGCTCTTATAGAGAAACATTAACCCATCAAGTGAATAACAAGATGAATAACCAGGTTCCATCTGTATTTAAATGGTAATGTTTTACATGGCTTTTCTTCTTTATATACCTAGTAAAATGTAGTTAAAAATAAATTAATACTATATCATGTATATATGACTTTCTTTTTGAATGACTTAAAAAAAGAGTATCACATGCCTTCAATGTGTTTATTTTGTTAGGCCTAGTTCTTATCCTAAAACTCTGATGGAAATTTGAGAGACTTGAAGGGAGGGTAGCAGGATGGCTAAGATTGAGTTCTGACTTTGTCATTTGCCCTATGCTGCTTGATCTTAGATAGGTATCAATCTTATCATCTGTAAAATAGAGATAATGGTTTCTACCTAATGGAGTTGTTTTAAGAATTAAATAAGGTTTACTATAAATCAAATGCTTGGTACCACAGCAGGTACAAAGCAAGGATTCAAAAATGGTAACTTATTAACACAGTAGTAGCTTTTATCTAAAATTAATCCTTTAAAGGTTGCCTTTAAGGTATAATTCTGTAATCAGAAATCAGACTTAACATTAGGGGGTTTGGTTTTCTACTGAAATTAGTGATTTCCATGCCAAATTTTGCAATATATCACGACTTCCAGTTACTATGGAAGATTATGAAATATAAATATAACTTTCCTCAAACATTTACTATATGGCCCACAAGGAAGACAAAGTGTTGTGAAGCCAAAACAATACACTGTGATGCAACATTTTAAAAAAGTTAACCTGTGTTAGTAATATCCACTTTTTGATGCAATGCCTATCATCCCAGTCAAGATTCATGCTGCAGACAAGTCAGATATGACCAATGTCACTCAAGCAAAAGGCCACATCTTAAAATCTATAATCATGGATGTACTACAATGTGAATGTACTTAATGCCACAGAACTGTATACTTAAAAATGGTTAAAATAGTAAATTTTGTGTTATGTATATTTACCACAAAAAATATCTATACTCATGTAAACCAGTAAAACCATTCTTACTTCTTTAAAATCAACATAAATGTAAACCAGCAAAACCATTCTTACTGCTTTAAAATCAACATAAATGCGTTGCACAAATTAAATACACAGTGAATTTTAATGTACTAGAAAACATACCAACACACAAAAATATTTTAATTTGTCAAATTCACTTTGTTCAGAATTCGTAGGTTACTATATTAAATATTCAATAATCAATTTTGTCTGTTATCTTGAATTAGAGGAAGGGTAAGTGAGGTATGATCTCCCAAATTTTTCCAGAAAAGGCTTAAGTCTTTATAGATAAATAGCAGTATTTGAAGCTAGAACACTTAAAAATCTTCTAGTGACTACTGCCGTTAGTACACATGTGAGATCTTTTTCTCCCCTAAAATAACAATTGAAACACCCACATGTTTACAAAATTCAGTAATAATTTAATGAATGTGCTAAGTATTTGATCCTCTTGTTAATCTTTTTATTAAGAGGTCAATCCACCAGAAGGAATCAAGGACAGCCAACAGGGTAGGTGACGGGGAGGAGGAGGATGGGCACCGGAGGGGTGGGTGGGTGTTAGTCCAGAGAGATTGTGTGTGTTGGGAAAAGTTTACAAGAGAGCAGTCATAATCCTTGGTTTTAGTGATAGCAGACCTGCTTACTGGGTGCTTACATGAAATAAATAGATCATCCATCCATCCCTGAGACTTTCGTAATAACAAACTGATTTTTGTAGGATTTCCTTGTTACTTCCTTCGTCTCTGGATATGTGGGGTGGAAATGCCCACCCAAAGCATGAGTAGGAAAAGGCATATCAAATGACATACCAAAAGCCATATCAAATGAGAGTTAATTTAATAATAGAGAAATAGCTGCTACACTAGAAGATGGAGGGAATGTAGTAATGTGCCTAGATGTTCAAGTGAAGGAAAGTAACCGTCACTGAGACATAAGGAAGAATGGAGACCATGAGGCAGAGGGATCTAACAGAAAGAATCAGGACTAGGTGTCGGGAGACCCAGGTTCTGCTCCTTACTTTACTTCTAACTGACAGCATAATGTTGGGTAAGTCATCTCTCCTTACTTAACCTGATTTTCCTCACTTGTAATGTTAGAGAGAACAAATGATCAATAGACTCTCGGCTTCCACGGCATCCCGCTATCTTATGAGTTGATTAATGGTAGCTGGCACCAGGGGATATGGAGTCTGAAAGACGGTTCTGGAGTGTTGGGAATTGGGCAGGGCTTTAAGAAGTGACAGGACAGCACCAGGAGAATAATTAACTCAAAAGAGAATGGTGTATATTTTCTTAGAGCAAGAGGGTACTCGTCTGCAATTGGCAACTGATAATCTGTCTCACTGAAAAGGGAGTAAAAGTTGGTTATAATAAGAGAAGAAAGTCATCAAGTCAAGCATATAATAAAAGCATGCATTTTAAACGAAGGTAGAAAGGGAGCTGGGACTCTGGCAGGGTCCTGTACTACCCCACCCCTTACGCACTGAGGTTTGCTCCTGGGCCTGTGGCTTCTCTGCTCATGCACATGATCTGCTCGGGTGACATCCTTTACCCTTAAGCCTTCATCTGCCACCTCTGTGTATATAATGAGCCCAGCTGCCTAACCCTCAGCATCAAAATCATCTCCCTAAACATCTTCCTGGCTATGTACTGAGGTGTGTGAAAGCACATCATCCAGCAGGTTCCAAACTGCATCCACCGTTTCCTCCCATACCCAGACACCAAACCCACTCTTCCTGGGTCCCTGAATCTCAGGTTGATGGAAACACCAAGGACTAAGGCACTGCTATGGTTTGAATGTCTGTGCCCCCTTCATGTTGAAAGTTAATCCGTAATGTAACAATATTAAAAGGTAGAGCCTTTATGAGGCAATTGGGCCAGGAGGGCCCTGTCCTCATGGATGGGATTAAATGCCTTATAAAAGGGTTTGAGGGGGCAGGTTCTCCCCTTCCATCTTTTCTTGCTCTTCTGCTCCTTCACCTTGTGAGGTGAGGACACAGTGTCCAAAGCCCAGAAACCAAACCTGTGGTGCTTTGATCCTGGACTTTCCAGCCTCCAGGACTGTGAAAAACACATTCCTATTGCTTATAATTACCCAGCAGCACAAACAGACTAAGAGAGGCACCTAACCCAGAAACTCTCATTTCCTCTACTCCCTTGCTCCTTCTGCAATCCTGCTGCCATTGCCTCTGGTGGAGCCTGCCTCATCTTTGATGAGGAGGACTGAAATAGCCTCCTCTCTTGGCCTCCTCAGTCCGTTTCCATACTGCAGCCAGAGGGCTCATTCTAAAGCACATCACCTCCTGATCTGCTGCTGTGTTGTTATTGTGAAGATAAAACAACGTCTCAGGGAAGGCTGGGGGCCCTGGCAATGTTAAGTGATGGCAGGACTGCTCTCCAGCCCCTCTGGATTTCTACTTTATTGGCTCTTGCTATTTCTTTCCCAGGAATGCTAAGGTTAGACCCCCAAAAGGTAGGGCAGACTGGATTCCATATTCTGTGATCACCATGATCACTGATCCCCTGAAAATAGCTAGAAGAGGAGGACAGGATGCTTCACATGCAGCTCCCGGTGGGCACTCACTCAGCCCCACAAGTTAGGTCTGGCCTCTTCTCACTTCATCCTGCTGCCTGCCTCAGGGGCTCTGATACAGTTGGGACTACTTCTGCGAGGGCAAGCCTCTAGCTCTGTTTCTATCTACACACGTCACTGGCGTCTATGCTTACAGATACCGGGCATTTTTACAGATGTTATCTCTACTTGGCGGTCAGCAGCAGTCATTGCTACGGTGGCCAATCCCGGGCATACGGAGAGATTGCTGCACTTGCTGATGTGTTGACCTGTAAATGTTCTGGAGCTGCTGTAGGTAAGTGCAAACTGCCTAACTTTTATTCACTTATTTTTATATCATTTGTCCCCCACCCTTCACCCCACAAGCTCTAGGGAACTTCTTGCTGATCAAGTATAGTCTCACTTTGTTTCTCCACTCTTCCCACTGGCGGCAGTGAGAGGCAGGGGCTGGTTTCCATGGTAGCATGTGGAAAACGAACACTGGCCTGAGTCCCAGGCCTGTGCCCACCATGGGATGGGCTTAAATCACTCACCCAGTCCAGGCCTCCATCTCCTCAACTTGAAAATACAGACAATCATACTGGCCTAAGAGCTGGTATTCGTGGTAAAAGAAATATCATGAAAGCACTTTGAAATCACTGAACTGGCAGATAAATGCAAAGGGGAAACTCCCATAAAGAAAGCTAATTCTGTAAGATGTGCAACGTTTGGAGGATGGTCACACTTGAAGCTCTTATTCAAGGGGGAGGGCGGCAGGGGCAATAGATGTAATCTTAACATTTGTACCCCCATAATACACTAAAATAAAAAAAAAAAAGAAAGCTAATTCTTTTGCTGGTAAAGTGATTTGGAAAGAGGATGGCCTTGAGACATTATCTTAAATGGAAACAAAGTAACCCAGGAAGTGAGCTTTATTTATATCACTGTGGTTCCAAGGCAACAAAACAGCAAGTGTTGCAAGGACACTGACCTTCCATAACATTTAGGTCCTACTGCAAAGACAAAAGGAACTTTTCAAAAAGGCTCAGAGGCCCATGGTTCGAGGTAAACATGTGGCTCAAGCACAGACTGCCAGTAATTTCTTCCACTGTGATAAAACAACCTGAGTAGAAAGTTCTCCAAATCTACCTTACAATAATGGACTGGTAATGGACCAATTAAAGGTGTGTCAATTGGGGATTTGGAAAAAGAAAAATAAAAAAAAGGAAACAACGCTTACAGTCCGTGGCTCACAGTGCCAATGAAGTGCAGCTGCACCTGCCTGCCCAACCCAGAGAAGGCCTTTCAGAACATTCCAGTTGGCCAACAGTGCTTATCTATCCCAGCTCCTATTTCCTCTGGAAGGTGTGGGAGAGGAAGCACTGGGCAAGAGCTTTAAGAGAGAAATAGGTCATTTTTACAAAAGCAAGTTCTATGTCACTTACGTTTCCAGGGAAATGTCCATTTTTACCTTGGTGTTAAGTCAATGCTTCATATTTGCAACTTGGTTATTGGCCACTGGTGGGTAAAATCACTGGTGGCCATTGGCTCCTAAGGGGGAGTAGAGAAACGTCTGGGTTTACATTCAGGTAAACACATAGTGAGATGTCTTTTTTTCTGATATCACTTTCTCCAACATCAACTGAGGGTCCTACAATTCCAGCTTATCCTGACATTGACCACCTGCAGTAAGCAGCAAACTCACAGGTTTAAGGGCTCGGTTCCACACGACTGCCCTCATTTCAGAGTCCAGTTGCAAGTCCTGGGTATCCAAGCTACCTGCACTTCTGTCTGACTGGACTACAGATTTGGAGGTTCCCACAATCCCCTCCCTCAAGTTTGATAATTCATCAGAATAACTCACAGAACTCAGGAAAACACTTTACTTACAGTTACTGGTTTGTTATAAAGGATACAACTCGGGAACAGCCAAATGGAAGAGATACATAACACAAGGCATTTAGGGGTGGGGAGGAGGACCCTCCCAGTACTTTGATGTATTCACCAACCTAGAAGCTACCGGAACCTTACTGTTTAGAGGTTTGTATGGAAGTTTCATGATGTAGGCATTACTGATTAAATTTCTGGCCACTAGTGATTGAAAATCTCTAGCTCTTCCCTCCTCCCTAGAGGTGAGACTGAAAGTTCCACCACAGAAGAATGAAGGCTGATTCTTCTGGTGACCAGCCCCATCCTGAAGCTATCTCTGGGGCCCACAATAATTCACCTCATTAGCACAAACTCTGAGGAGGTTGAGGGGCTCACTGTGAATAGCAAAGCACATTCCTATTACAAAATGCCAAGGGTTTAAGGAGCTCTGTGCTATCAACTGGGGCACAGACTAAATATATATTTCTTATTGTACCACAATAGCACGTTGTTGCATAAGAACAGTCTCATAGGAGGGCTAATTCTTATTCCAAATGGTTGCAATTTGAAACATTGTTAAGTAGTTCACTTAGAAGGTCAAGTTCACCTTCAAGGCCCAAACAAGGCAGTCATTTGAGTCATGAATGCCCTGAGTCAATGACTTATAAGAGCCACTTCCTAAGGGATGCCGTCCTGACACCCTGACCAGGGCACTTCACAACATGCTCCTATAGTTCTCCATCCCTTCCTTTCATAACACTTATATTCACCCACAAATGACTATTCGATTAAGGGTTTATTTCTCTCCCACTAAACTATAAGCTTTCTGAGGTCTGATCTACATGGATTATGCTCATTATTACATCCCAGGGCTTAGCATGCAGCAGCTGCTATTGAATGTTAATTGAAAAAAAAAAAAAAAGTTAAAATTAGACCTTGCTTGGAGCAAAACCGGAAAACCTTATAATTTTCACACCATCTTGCCTTCAATTTACCAAATTCCATGTGACATACAAAGGTCCCTGGATTCTTTAGCACAGACCAATCAGCAAGGAGGGTCTGATTTAGCTCAGCCATGGCATTAGGAATAATTTAAGGCAGCTTGGAGAAATGCAGTGATAGAATAAAATAAGGCAAGGCTTCTAAAAGAACCCACAAATAACTAATAGGGATCAGCTAGAATGCTCACATTGCACAGAAGGAAGCAGGTAGTTTGTGCACATTAGGTTGGCTTTTGGCTTCAGAACTCAGCAGGATTCTGCAGCTCTACTTGTTGTTAGCGAAGGGGAGAAACCATGTATTCTCTGGAAATGTTAGAGTTTTAATGGTTGTCCAAGACATAGAAGACACATTCCCCATCTGGAAGTTTAACACATGGCTTCTAAATTAGGGTGGAGCTTTGTCATAACTCAGTGACAAAATTCAGCCGCATGACACACATAGACTCCAGCCAGTGACCTAAGTTTCTCCTGTGTACACAGCAGAAGAATCTATGGTTACTTCTTAGCAAACACATTTGAAAGGCAAAAAGATTACACCAAGAAAGCTAATGGTGTGGGCTGTTTTTCTACCTTTTTAAAACTCACACACAAGAAATAATATTATCCTGTTTACATTTGACAACACCATCTGTTTTTATTGCAGAGTCTTATCCATTCGAGGAAGACAACAACTTAGTCACTGAACAGAAGTAAAAATGAAGAGGGCCCAGTGTATCACTAACTTGCATCATGGCCAGTCATGGGCCACCAAAATAAGGCCTATGAGAATACATCTTGCATGTGCTCTGACACTAGGTGTACTCAACATCCATGATTAGACTACTGCTGGGTGCAAAGCACTGTTCCAGATGATGAAGGCAATGGAAAGGTTGAGATCTGAGCCTCAAAAGGTGTTTATGCTTTGGTGAAAAAAGGTACAAATATTAAGAAAGATCAAATAAATGGATTATACAGTTGCATCTTGAGGCAATATATGCTAAAGGAACAATAGTCACTGCACAGAAGTTATGAGTTAGATCAAGAAAGATGCACAGGATTTGGATAGGTGCAGGAGAAGGGATAAGGGGAAGGGGTTAATAACAGGGCACACAGTATTTTATGTGGAGGAATGGAATAAATAAAGAAGGTATGAGAAAACCATGGTGAACACAGTGAATGTAAGGAGTTAGTGAAGAGACATATGAAGTGGAATTTTTGAGACAAATATGATGGGAATGGGAGATAAGAGTGGAAAATAGATTGGAATTACATGTTTAAGTTTCAAATGTCGCACTAAGTATTTTTCAAGAAATAACTCAGGCCCAGAATGTAACAGGTATCTAAGAAATTATTGCTTTAGAGGCAAAAATATCACTTTTAGAATAGTCGAATATTTTTATGAGCAGAAAGGAATTTAGACTTGCTATAAGTGGTAGAAAGTCACTGATGGTATCTGAACAGGGGAATAATGGAAAAATACATTTAAGGACATATTAGGGAAATTAATTTAAAAGCGTCAGGAAGAATTCATTGGAGAGGGTTTGAGATTGAGAGCAATTTTATAATAGCGTATATGTTTGAGTATCTTGAGAAATAAAACATAAATGGACTTCAAAATTAAAATTCCAACTAGAAAAATAGTTCAGCTTTAAAAAAATTAAACTTTCAAGTTAGCCAGTCAGATGATGCAACCGACAAAGCAATTAGATTTTGAGGAAGCACACTTTTCCTGAATGTCTTAACTGACTTTTTCAAAAGAGAAATAAATTTGATTAATAACTTTTTTTTTACTAGAAGTTACTTGACAAATGTTTTACAGTAAAAACACCACTTTTAGAATTAATAGCAATATTTTTTGTAATGCAATAATACATAAGAATAGTACATAAGAATACATAAGAATAGTCACTTAAAACTGTGGTCCCCAACCTCTGTGCTGGGCCAGTCCTGGGCCATGACCTGTTAGGAACTGAACTGGGTATCATCACCTGAGTTCCCCTTACCCTGTTCTCCCTATTTTCCCTATCTGTGGAAAAATTGTCTTCCACAACACGAAACTTAGGAATCAGGGAACTGCACAGCAGGTGGTGAATGGTGGGTTAGTGAACAAAGCTTCATCTGTATTTACAGCTGCTCCCCATCACTCACATCACCGCCTGAGCTCTGCCTCCCCCGTCCCAGTCCCCCCCACTCCTGACTGTCCATGGAAAAATTATCTTCCATGAAATTGGTCCCTGGTTCCAAAAAGTTTGGGGACTGCTAATTTAAGACATACACACAAAAGGGTGCCAGATATATTACTGGCCATATTAAACACACCATAAAGCAAACCATCAACTTAAGAATACACTGGGCCCTTAATCATCAGAAAGATCATTAGGCATTATGACATTCACCATGCAATCAAACCTCTGTTTAAAATCGAATTACAATTACTCTAATTATGGACCTACATTTCATTTGTTACACAACCGGTACCTAATCAAACAGTTCTATAGAAGAGATGATTTCACCACAAGGTAACTTAGTTAATTTCAGTGCCAAAGAAATTTTTTTAAAGAGCTTTTTTTTTTTAAGCAATTGATTTATACATTTAGATGTCAGAAATGTTATTTCTATAAAAATTACTACATGAACTAATTCTAAATCAAAACAAAATACTTGCATGCATTCTGAAACAATATTCTTCTCTCATAAACACTTTATTTAAATATTTCCCAGCAACAGGCTTATGTAGACCAACCAGGAAGTGAAACCAAATATGATCACATTGTGAAAGCCGAGTAAGTTGAAAGAATACATTTGGAATTAGATGAAGCACTATTAAAATTTCATTTAAAAGTCCATTCCCTTGGAGACATCAATTTAATTAAAGCAGTAATAAGAGGAATTTCAAAAGCATAAGTCTTCATTTTGTTGTTTGGCAATTTCCCCAATTTTCCAAGCAAATGTCTCTTCCTGTAGGCAGGCTGGCTCATCTGAAATGGGAGCACTCACCCAACCTGCCTGGGGGATGGAGAGAGCAGGGTAAAGCTATCGTTTTTCTGCTAGTACCTCCACTCTTAATGCGACCTTTAATGACTTGCTTTGGAGAAAAAGTATCTTTTGCTTCTTAGGTAACAAGCAAATCCCATTTCTCTTAATTGTTTTGCTGTAGTTACTATCATTCCCTTTAAGCTAAGTATAAACCCCCTAATAACAGAAACTGTATTTTATTGTTTGATTAGTTTGCTTTTTAACTAAGACTCAGTGATCGAGGCATAGTAAGAGTTATATTAAGTACCTAATGGTTATTCTTATTGTCCAAGGATAGTGTAACCAAACAAAACTTGTTACTGTTTATGTTTTCTTTCCAAGATGGATACTAAGTAGAATCATCAATTCCTGGACACCACCAGCATCTGGCTTATTTCTAGGAGGTTAGGTCCAGGAGAGGGAACTAGGAGACATTCATGCAAAAATAAAATGAATTTTCATTTACTGATTATTATACTTTATTCTTATTTTTATTTTAAGCAGGATTTAAGTTTAATATTACATACAGTGTAATAATTTCTATGAACATTTCTTAGCAATCTAAATAAATAAGAAGGTAGCTCCTAACTATCCATGACTCCGGCAAGTGATCAGGTAACTCCTATTAGACACTGTACAAACAAAATGTAAATGTGAATGTGCTAATGTAATTCATATTTCCATAATTCACATTACAAAATGTAAATGTGAATGTGCTAATCTGTGGACAAGGTGGACACATTACTGCTATGTATAAGAACTGAACTTAAAAGGGGGAAAAATTAAGCACAAGCAGTGACAGACAAATCCATTGGCATGTTTATGTGTGTCTATAAACACATGTATAAAAATATGCAAATAATGTGGTTAGTGAATTCAATAAACACCTGAGAACCTATGCTGTGCCAAGAACAGTGTCACTCCTAACAAAGCGAACCAATTCTATTGCCATTGTGTTAAGAGGTTGAAGAGCCTGCCTAGGTGTTTTACCCAGAGCACGTCTGTGGACTCATAAAAAAGTCAGTGTTGAAGTTGGCCAGTCCCCTACTCAGTACCCTTTTGTCTGGGCAGACTTTTTCCTTCCTGTTACTTGCTTGCTCACTTTATTAATACTTTCACTATAGAGCCTGATGCTTTACAGTTGCATTCATTGGATTCTCTTGATGGGGAGAATTTATTGAGCATTTGCTATGATATGGGTAGGACAAAAAAGTATATTTCATCTTATATTTACCCTTAAAACACTCATAAAAGTGTTTATGGGAAATGTTACATACAAATTGAACAGGGAACAGGAAAACAGATAATCATAGATAATCATGGATAAACAATATGGCTGAACAACTCTGAATGTATGTATAATGCTCTAAAGTTTATAGAGTATTTTTTTTTCATAAATAGTCATTTAAATCATGCCTTTGGTTTTAAGATAAGGATACCAACCCAGAAAAAAAAAAAAGCTGCTGAAGACACATGGCTAGGGAGCAAGGGCTTGATCCTATAACTGATACCAAACACTATATTGTCCCAACCATCCGAAGCTTCCTCTCAGAAGGGTAACAATTACAGTTCAGGGAATGGAGAAAACAGCACAGATGAGGTGTCTCTCAGCCTTTAGGGTCGGATCCCACTGCAGTGGTTCAATAATAAAGTAGAGAGGGTCCAGAACAGGGGAGTGTCCGTGAGAATGACCAGGAATGAAGACAACAAAGATTGGCAGGTGGGAGAGATGGGGAAAGAAAAGAAAAGGGGTGTAAAATTGGGTTAAAAAGCTCCATTATAAAGTGCTAGTTAATATTTCAATTGGTATTTAATGGAATACCAATGAGCAATCTAATGAAATTTGCTCTTTCATTTCAAATCAAGGCTAATTATTAACATAATTAAGATTTTATGCCTTTATCAAAGGTTTGGCATAACTAAGTTTCACTAAGCACTGCTTTCAAGAGTGAACCTAAAGCTGAAGGTGAGATGAAAAGGCCATTTGGTCCAGATCATAGAGAAACATGGCTACCATGCTTGGAAATCACCAAAAGTATTTATGAAAGGGAGTGGCATGATCCAGCGTCAAACTTTAAATTCAGAATTTTCTACTTTGGTAGCAGCATGGAGAACCCATTAGAAAGGGGAAATGTACATAGGGAAGAAACCAGAAAGATCAATGCTCCAGAGGATAAACAAGAAAGGAGGTTTGAGCTCAGATGTGACTGAGCACGAAGAGAAGAAAGGATAAAAGCAAACGCACCACCATCACTTCTAAGCACTTTCAAGCAGGTGCTCTGCACAGTAGCCTATGGGCATGGATTCTAGTGTGCCTTAGGTACTTATCAGAAGGATTTGGTGGCAGACTGGAGGTTAAGAAGAGCCAGAACTCAAGGACAAATGACCACCCCAGCTTTGGCCACAGGCCCAGTGGTGGAGGAGGGTAATGAGTGTGGTTATTAAAATGCTGAGTTTGCAGTACCTGTGGGCCATCCAGGTGATGACATCTAGTAGGCAGTTGGAAAGACAAACTTGAGTCCTGGGGAGAGGAGAAAATAGGAATGAGTTTGTTAGGTTGTTCACTTTTGCTAAAGACTCTGGCCATTGTTAGATTTAAAGACCAGTACTTAGTGATTTGGAAAAAAATAAGTTATTTAAAATAAAGAACTAAATATAGCCTCAGTCCATCTCCCATATAAAGACATTTATATAATATGCTCCTTTCAGAATATCCCCATTTAAAGTTGGAACAATTTAATTTTTTGGTAAGACACTTGAGTTCACTAAGATATAAAGTCTGTATGTTAGAAAACATGTATACTTGCACATACATGTACACAACTACAAAACACCTCTTTTGATGACTTCTACTTGACTGCCCAGTTGGAGGTGAATAGAATTGGAAGCAATAGGTTTTGTTTTTAAATAACTTCCAGCCTCCCCATTGCAGATGCTCATTGCCTTCCTGACCATGAACTGCCAATTTTTTAATAAAACAGAGAAGGGCAAATTTTTTCTTTTTCTTTTAGTTTAAAAAAGATCCTGCCTTTCCTAAGCCACTTCAACTTTAATGTGTACTCTAAACTACTGATTTTTAGAAACAGTGAATATATTTAGTTATCAATAGAATTAACAGAAACATGAAGGAATTTCAGATGTGTATGTTTTATATTGTTATAACTATCAATCTCCTTTCTTTGCCAGCTTTGATAGAATTGGAAAATGTATACTTGGGGAATTTTGAAGAATTGCTCCAGTTTTGTTTTTCCCTAAAGAATTTATCTCCATTTAATGTACTATATACTTACTTCTTTTGTCTATTTTATGTCTCTACCCACTAGGTTTCTATCTTGAGGGTTCACTGAGGCATCCCGCCACCTAGTCCAGAGAGTAGGGGCTCAGTAAATATTTGAGTGAATAATCTCAATCCTGTGATTATTTCCTTGGCAATCATATCTATGCTCCACCTTAGTTTTGAACTATGACTTCTATTAAATATTTATACACCCCAAAGAAACTCTTTCAGGACCTACATTGTGGTAGTACCAGCAGGACATTGAGGGTTACTGGTACAAAGGAATTAACATGAGAAAAACCACAGCCAAGTGTCAACCAAGGCCCCTCGGTTGTCCAGATGGTTGCTCTGTCCACCTCTGTCTTAGAAGGAGAAGTTATGATGATTCTTCTCCTCGCCACACTATTCTGACTTCTGGTTTCCCTGATCTCAATTCCTGTTTGCAGCACCTGTTTTAGCCCAGGCTTCCTTGTGGTATTTTGAACACTGGTTACCTGAGTTTGACATCTGTTGTTTTCATAGCTTGAAACTGATTTTTTTTTATATGTAGCTAAACTTAGAGAATTGCCTAATCCTGTATTTCTACACAGACCAGAGACTCGCATAACTTAAAATTACAAGACAGACATTATAGACTACTTTCCCCTCAAGGTTCCTATTGTCCTTCTCTGTTCCCATTAAAAACCTAACAATTTCCTCACCACCCTGTTTGATGGAATCATCACAGTAACCACTTGGTATTCATTACTTGACATAAAATATTTTTTTCTGGTCAACTGAATTTAGTTTGCATGGATTTATTACATAATCAAATCCAAGGAGAAACTATTACAATATTCTAAATTCATATTAAGACAGAAATTAAAACTTCAAATTTTGAAAAAAAGATGTATTCTAAGTAATTTATGCTATAACTTTTCCATTTGATGTCTAAATATATGTTTAAAAATATTGTGCTTTTGCACTCTTTGTGAAATGTAGTTAATATATAAGCTAGGCTATAACTTTTCTTAAGTCTTTGTATTGGAACTAATTTAATTCATAGGGCAATACTTTCAAACACATCAATTGTATCAGCAAGGCAATATTTAGAAGGGCTCTTGTCATCTGCATAGAAGACAATTCACTTGACAGCACTCCTTTTTTTGGGCAATGACTCAAATCAGCTAGACTGAAAATAAATCTAAAGGGTACACAGCTGTCATGTAGCCTCAAGTAGCTTTCTGAGCAATATCTTGATTCATTTTTCTCTATTTGTTCTACTGGTTTTGCAAACAGGATTGCAATCCAACAAATGTATTTATCCCACACTGTGAAGAGAGAGCATTTCAGTGTCTTAGAGAGGGTGGTATTCAATTTCTTTGCCCTGCTGGGTATAAGAAACTATATAGAGTGATTTCTTGATTTTATTTAATGAGAAAAATATATTTAAGCTCAATGATGTGAATCATTTACAAAATAAGGGCTCTAAAATTTGAGAATAAGATTTTGACAAAGGAACACTGGCATCAAAGTTCAAAGAAGGGCCAGGGCAGTGTGGAGAGGAATGTTTTTTCTCCCTCCCAGCAAAGCTCTGATTGGAGCCCATTTACATCTTACCAGAATGAATTTCTATCTATGTCTACTGTGTATAGGCAACTTACTTATTTTCATTGTAACAGTCCTTAATTACTGTTTTTTTTTTATTACGGAAAATTTCAAATATACACAAAAGTTGAGAGAGTGGTACAATGAAGCCCATTTGCCCACCACTCTGATACAACAATCCTAATACCCTCACTGGATTATTTGAAACAAATTCTAGATAACATCCTTTGTCATATTTTAGTATACGTCTCTAAAACAGAAAGTCTTTAAAAAACATAACCACAATATCATAATCATACCCAGTGGCTTGCTGTTAGATATTTAACAACCAGTTCTCTGTGGAAAATAAAAAAGGGCCCTGATTTGTATTCTTTGCCATTTTCCATGGTATAAATATTCCCACCATGGCCAATTTCAAACTACTAGCACAGTGTCACTGAATAAAGTTGAGAAGAGATATGTAGCATACCACCATACAGTACTTCCACTCTGCAGATACATTGGACATAAATGACCTTAAGAGCATAGATAATAGCAAATTCTAGTAAAATAATTAAGAAGAAAAAGTTTTGAGTATTTCTTTTACTTTTAATACTTTACTTACAAGTTTGTATGATTTAATTTTTAATAGCTGTGTTTAACTAGCTTGCAAAATTCCTAAAAATATAATAGTTTCACAAACCTGTTTGTGTCATCTCTAGCATACCACTGAATCACATCCAAATAAATAATACCTTAATATTATTAGCTATCCAAATTTCCCTGATATGTCTCTTCCCTTTTTTTGTTTAGCAGTAGAGAAATGTTTTAAGCAGGAAGAGAGAGCGAGCTTTATTTCAGAAAGCTATACTGAGTGCTACTTTCTGTATATAACTCAGGTTGCTGTTTAAAGTCTGTTTCCAGGAGGTTAAATAAAATGCCATAGTGATTATACACCTTCATATAATCTAGGAATGATAGTAATGTTTTTATTTTGCTTTTACTGCCCATTCTCAGGCCCCCAAGAGAAAAAGAGTTTGAAAAGGATGACAGGGACGTGGAAGAAGGGAAAACACGTCCATGTCAGGTTGACAACCATAAGTTGATGGAATGTTTGGAGAGGAAGAAGATTGCTAAGAAGATGTGAGATACTTTCCTGTGCCTTGTGTGTCCCACCACTGAAACTCAGCTTACATAAAGCCCTCTTTATGAATGTGCCTTCCAGAAGTGGATATGGCACATCAGATGTGGTCGTGCCTAAGCAGTTGGTAAAGCGGAGCTACAGCCATCTTTGCTGAGGATGCTGCACTGAAGTGCAGCTCCACCTTGATTTCACAGTCAAGTCCAATCAATTAATGAACAGTGTCTACCAGTACTCACCAGACTCTGCAGTGTACATTCATGGACCAACCTCCTGCCCACCACCAAATGTGTACCCAGATTGCCTTTCCAATATTCCCATTATAACTTTGAACGTACCCTCTATTCCAGATAAGTTAGCCTACCCACAGTTCAAAACACACATACCATTTTTATTCTTAAACATTTTAATTATAAAAATTTTCTGATGCATATAAAAGTACATTATAAGGATCCCCCATATAGCCTTCATCCAGTTCCAACGATGATCAACTCATATCACACCCATGCCCAGGTTTGTTTTGTAGCAAATCCTGGATGTATCATTTCATGCACAATGATTTCAGCACTGCATAAGTTCCTTCCTACACCTCTCTGAGCAAACATTTCTCTTCCACCCCCTCCTTCATCTTTCCAAATCCTATCTCATCCTGCAAGGCTTACCTCCTACACTGTTTGCGCCGAATTTATCAGTGAGTCATATGTCTCCTTGGGACATCTGTCTTATTGCTGTCTATCATTCTCGCCTCTTAAATTGGACACTCGCTATGTCATTGGCTTGGAAAGCAGGATGTCTCTCTCACTATACATACAGTGCAATAATTCATGCTGAGTAGGGAAATAACTAAAGATAACCATGTGTCTTCATAAAGTTTATTAAAATTTGATACAATAATTTTATATAGTATATTGACTAAATTCCTTAAGTGGTATATGTCTTGGGAAATAGCACAGGACAGGGTATGCAGACACAGTATGAAAGGGTGGGGAGAACATGCCCTTCTGTTTACATGCTATTTTGGGAATATTGTGTGACTTCTCTGAGCCCACCTGTAAAACTGGAATTAATTGGAGCCATTCTCCCTCTCTCCCTTGCTAAACTCAGAATCAGATGTGACTATATGTGTAAAAATGGTTTTTTAATTGATAAAGCACATTGTTGATGCATATCATTACTTGTAAATGCAGAAATAATTGACCATTTCCAACAAGGAAATCTACTGTTTTGATTCCTGAATGTATGAGGAGAATAAATTTCAACTCCCAACAGGAAAACAGGGAATGTGAGAGATAGTATAGAGATCAGATGGGCTTAAGAATCAGCATACTAACCCTGGGAGGAATATGTAGTGTCTCTCTCAGACCTCAAAAACCACTGCCTTATAATTTGAACAGACAAACTGAAAGACCCCCAAAAAGGTATTACAAAGAAGGAAATATATCTTTTCAGCTATGTAAGAAGAATTCATGTTACATTAAATCATTAAATGGCAAAATTCAACATCTGATTCCTTTTTCAAGTAAAACTACAGACTTTT